GATTTAGTAACTAGAGATTTTTAGTGGCCACAAATATGGAAGGTTGTAAAAGACTTTGTTCAATTGTGTGACATTTATTCAAGGTCAAAAATTCTTTGGCATCCACCTTGTAGAATTTTTCAACCATTACCTATTCTAGAACAACTATGGTCTTCTATTTCTATGGATTTTATTATGAATCTTCCAATCTCAAGATCATGTGATTCTATATTTGTGATAATAGATCATTTTATCAAAATGGCATATTTTGTACCATGCATAAAATCTATCATAGGTGAAGAAACTACAAAGCTTTTCCTTGACAATATCCATTAATATCATGAATTATCAAAAGATATTTTATCAAATAGGATAATTCAATTTATATCAAGATTTTAAAAAATTCTTTTTAAGATTTTAAAAGTAGACATAAAGCTTTCTTTGGCCTTTCATCCTCATATTGATGGACAGACAAAGCACATAAATGAAGTTTTGGAGCAATACTTAAGGTGTAGCATCAATTATCAACAAGACGATTGAAGAACCCTCTTGACATTGGCAGAGTTTGCTTATAATAATACGTTGTATTCTTCTATGTAACAAACACCTTTTTTTGCTAATTATAGTTACCATCTATGACTTCATACTTTTGACTTTTTAAAATTTAATAATCTTGTAATAAAAGGTTTGGCAAATTGTTTATGAGAGCTACATGCAACAAGGTGCAATTAAAGGAAGCTCAAGAATGAAAAAAGATCAAAGCCAATATCTATCAAAAGAAACAATCACAATTCAATGTATGTGACAAGGTATGGTTGATTTGTTGTAATATCAAGTCTACTCATCTTTGTGATAAGTTGGACTATTGCAACCTTAGATCTTTTCTTATTTGTAGACAAATCAATCCAATTGCTTATCAATCACATCTATAAGAGGCAATGAAGATCCATCCGATCTTCCACATCTTTCTTCTTAAACCATAGAAGATTATGAACATACCAAAAAGAAAAGAAGCTCCACCTCTTCCTGTAGAAATAGACAATAATGAAGAATTTAAAGTGGAAGAAATTCTAGAGTCAAGGCAATGCCAAAATAAATTAAAATAACTTATCCATTAGCATGGATATTATAATAGTGAACATAGATGGAAGTCAATAAAGAATCTTGTAAATGCAGCAAAGGTGGTAGAGGCTTTTTATGAATGACATCTATCAAAATTAAGATAAAGAATAATAAGTCTTTACTATAAAAGAAATAAGATCCATAGAAGATTGCATTTTCTATCTATTTTTGTAGCTTTTGTGTATTTGTGACACTAAGGAGATGGAAAACCAACAACCAACAGATTTAATTCAAGAGCTTTCATTTGTGGACTTATCACACGAGATATTGTAATTGTCACAACCTACAAGACAATGAAATCAAGATGAAGATCCTCAAGAATGACATGCCCTTCCTCAAATAGGTGGCAAGATACAACATGTTTTGTATCACAACCTTAGAAGAGACTCTTAATATTTGGTGATTTTATTAGAGGTAGGAACAATTGTTGATGGTGTTTCAAATGTTTTTTTTGAAAGAAGATACAAAGGCTGCAAGAACAACCAAACAATAGGTTAATCTTCTCATCCTAGTATGAAATATTATTGATGGTTGAGAGGGCCTATCAACTATCTTTGAAGAGAACAAAGATCAGAGTATGTCATAAATATAATTTGTTGCATATTAGATTTCTTCAACATATAAAGATCACTCCTCATAGAACTTATCCCTAAAAAGGGGAATAATATCATGGACATACACATGTAAACTAATAATTACCTATATGATTAGATAAAAATAGATAAAGTAAATGAATTCCATAATATCTTTTATAGAAGCTTCTTAGAAGCTTCATAAATGTTGCTTTGACTTTATAGATATCTATAATTGATTTTTTTAGGTTAAAAACATGGTCAATAAGTTGGCCATGTACCACACATGTTGGTAGCTTGAAGAACAAGGTAACTATATAGCCTACACCTAGAAAACTTGTCTTGTAAGCTAAGGCATGTGTCATGTAAAGTCAACACATATTACAGGTCTTATAGAATATTGCCACATAGCTTCTAATTAGATAGTATATATAGAGGCAAGAGTGAAGCCTTCTTCACTCTTGTCAATTCATTTTCTGCTTCTGGTCTAAATTTAAGAGTCTTTAGTTTCTTTTTTTTTTTTAGCAATATCCATTCCAATTTCTTTTTAATATATATATATATTACTTTATTTCTATTTTTTTTTAACACAAATTTTTTAAGTTTATACATCTTCTATCAATTAATATCTTTGACAATGATGTGCTATTAAAGTATTAGTTCAATAAATTTCAAGACATCACTGAATACCTAGATTCTCATACCTTAAAAATTATAAGATATCCCTTCTATATTTCTACATAACAAGTATTCATGTACTTGCATCAAGCTTTAATTAAAATAATTCTTTTGTCTTTCAATAGTTGTAACTTTAATGTGAGTTTTTGGAATTGACGTCAACATTAAAATTAAGATCAATCTTTTAGCTATTGAATTCTAAACTTATCTTAAATATCTTTATTCATCAATCTCTTCTATATGTTCTTTCATATCTTTGTTAACATTGAAGTAGTCTATTGATGTCGTTCATTTTGAAATAGAACATAACTTTGACTTGATAAACCTTATCTTTTCATCATCAATCTTATCTTCTAAATTATTTCTTTGTTGTATTAAGAATCCTAAAGATCTTCATGAATCTTCTTTCTAACACTTATAACTTGTTAATAGATCAAAAGTGTATAATGAAATAATATAATAGAATGTCTTTTATAATCTCTTTATTGTGATTTTCTTTATGATATTTATAATATAATTTTGTGACTATTTATAGCTATTTAATAGTAAGTTTTTTAATACTATTTAAATATAATAAAAATATTTTATTTCTATCTAACTTAACTACCAAAGGTGGTTTTAACCATCTTGACTTTTTAACACATGGATAGCTAATCATTTTGTTATTTCACACTAACTTCTCTTTATCCAAATTGTATTTATGTTAATTTTCTTATGACTTTTTATTTTATACCAAGTCTTTTCTTCTTGCCTTTTTTTAATATAAAGATTTTTTTATATATAATCATTTATGTCTAAAATAATTCTAAAATATACCTTCTAAAGAATGTAAAATCTTTATTTTATTAATTAAATAATAAGTGTAATTCTAAGGTCAAAAATTACATTTTTACTTTTAATGTTCTAACATATGATAAAGTACATGGTGATAGAAAATTTCTATATAAGAGATTAATCCATGCAAATGGAAACAAAGATTTTAAATATTATGAATTAGCAAAATATCTATTTTAAACATTGAGAGATTTGGATTACTTAGAGATTGAAGAATTAGATGCTTTGTATTCAATAATAGACATAACAACTCTTGAAATTATAAGATGTGTAAAGACAGAACATGGATCTTTTAGAGAAGTTTATAAATGAAAGTAGTTGAGACTTTTGTGTGTAACTAAAAAGATGGATGTTGCATTTGATAATATTTCTATCAAAAAAATAAAATTTCTAGCAAGTTTAAGTCATTCCAATTTAATAATATTCTATTTTGTAATAAAAAGTAGTCCTACTAAAAGAGTTTAATCTTTATTAACAAAAGAATAAAAAGTTTATTGATATATTGGAAAAGAATTGATGCAAATATATATATATATATATATATATATATATATATATATATCTTATAGTTATCTTATTGACATTATATATCAAATTGCAAAAGAGATATACTACTTGTATAACATATACATTACACAATGTCATCTAAAGCTTCTTAATATTTTCTTTAATATCATAGAGACAAAAATTATAAAAATAAAAGATTATTCAACATGTTGTTGTGAAAGTAAAATTTTAAAATATCTAAGATTGAAATTGGAAGTAATCCAAAAACTATTAAGAATAAAAAGCCTTATAGTACTATTGCATATATAGTTCCTAAGGTATTAAAAATTATATTTTAAACAATCATAATGTATTCTTTTGAAGTATATGTTTATTCATTTGCAATAATGCATTCTAAGATTTTTTTCAAAAATTTGGTAATACTTTTAAAGTATGAGAATTTTTAGACGAATTTGAAATATGTAAAAGAGCAATTTTGCCTTCAAATTGTGATAAATTGACTAAGCTTATCAAAATATGTTGGAACTTAAATTCTTTATAACAAGCAAAGTTTGTAAATATTTGTGAAAGATTAAATTTATTAAAGAAATAAGTTTTTAGCTAAGATTAATGTAGCAAATGGACCATTTAAAAATATATTATCATCAAAATATAGAATTTTAACTAGCACTTAATAGATTGCCAATGATAAAACTTGTAATAAAAAAAATAGAAAGCACATAATAAATTTATTAAATTAATTGTATTTTATGTATTGTAATGAAGAAATTGTAAGATAAATGCTAAAGAAATTTGTAAGATAAAAAAGATTGAGATGTTGGGAGCAATCTCTACTAAAGTTGAAAAAGAGAAGAGAATTAGATGGAAATGAGAATAATATTAACTAAAAGATTTGGAAGATATTAAGAATAAGCTTTGATAATTTGACAATTTGAAAGATGGAGAATGGATGGAATCAATCATGAGATAGCAAAGAGGGATGTGGCTTTAATAACTCCTTATTACATATTATCATTATATATTATAATATTACATATATTATATACACTACATGTTCATACCATCAATAACATATCTAGCCAAGTATATTCATGTGACAAAGTTAGGTAGGATAATACTATGTACATCCACACAGATTATAATTATAACATATTTGATCTTTTTAAGTTTTAGTCCATTCCATATTTAGATTTGCTTTGCAATCACAGATATATATAATAATTATATATTTAATTATTTATTTAAGCTTTCAGACTCTCATTTCAGTGTGTCTTTTCACCCATTTTTATAAATCATTTTGAAATCGGCTTAAGCAATTGTATGTATGTATGTATGTACAGACACATATATTACATATTTTGTAGAGCTTTGAGGAACTGGAGATCTCGGTGATGCCCCATGAGTCACAATTCGACTGACATGCTTCAGCGTTGAACTCCACCCCCATCTATCAGTCTCGAACGGACAAGATCTCGGAGCCAGTTTTAGCATCCAGAATGAGAAACTGGGTATCATGAGCCGAAGGTCTCTGTTTTCTCACTTACAGAAGAACACTCACATCTGGGATAGACATTCATCTACAAACAATTAGTGGTAGGCAAGGCTAAGATTTGAACACTGAATGATTTCTGAAATGCTTCTGTCGGTAGTGACAGGGACGCCAACCCCTGGCGCTGGGGAGGCCGAAGCTTCACCAGGCTCCACGCACAACCCAATTCCTACACTCTGAACATCAAAGATTACAACTCTAGTTTCACTTTGTTGCCTCAGTTCAGGAACACACCTAGTTCAGAAGTTGACAACACTACAACGATACCAGTTAAGGGTTTTTGAGAAATATATCGAGCATGTTGCCACTGCGTTACAGCAATGAGACAACAGCCAGACCAGTGTGCTATATGAAATTAGTGTGTTGCATTGCAATATATAATAACACGTTGGTTCGGTGTGAGAAGAAATCACTTAAATTATCACAGCGTACATAGTGACACAACTCACAGAAAAGATACAGCACTCGAGAGTTGGACATTCTCACCGATAATGTCAATCTCAACAATGAGAATATAGCTGATAGGAGCTTCAAATAAATGCCAATGCATAATTCTTGGCTAGGGACTTCAATATCACACCCCCAAAAAATTTGAATGGTTGCTCCACGTGGAAAAAATGCGTTCTGAACACTAATCGGATCAGAAAAACGAGAATTGAACGAATTAGGGACTGGTTAGGCGTTAGGATTCAAGCGGAATGCTCGACTTAGAAAGCAGTTCTTGGTGCGAAAGAGCCGCAGAAGGGCCGATTTGTATTCAGAGGCGACATCAGCGTTATGTTGCAACATTTTCGTTTTTGTAGGTCACTACCAAACTTTCCATTTGCCACCCCAGTAAACCACCAACTCTTCGTTCTCCTCATTCGTGGTTAATCATGTCCACTAATGAGGGCATGGGATTGGGAATCCTATACTTTCTTCGGCTCGGGACTCGAGTGAGGCTTTTGGACCGAACCTCCAGTGAAGTATCAGAATGAGAAACAGACACTTTAGGCATACTTTCTCTGGGGGAAGAGGAAGGGGTTTTGGACGGTAAAGATAAACCAGGAGGTGGCTCAGATAATATTGGATCAGGTATGTGGCAATTTCTTTTGCTTGGTCTAGGGACAGTCTCTGCAGAAAGAGAACTAGTTTTTATATCAGATTCTAGCTCTACAAAGAGCCTTTTGGTCCTCGGATTCCAGGACAAGTCTTGGCAGCAAACCGGAGAGTTGGAAACCTGAGAAGAAGTGACTGGGTTTTCAGATGGAAAAGGTGAGAGAACTAAAACTGGGGGTGAATGTGGAACCACTGTAAGAGCTGCTGCAGATGAAGATACATCAACACACGGAAAGGATAACGGCGAGGGAGGTGATGAAAGCAAAACATACTGGGCAGAGCCGAATAGGGGAGTCGATCTTTTGGGAGACTCTACAGCATTATTATTTATCACCTTCGATGGAATACTGCAGTGGTCGGTCGTCGCTCTTTTGAGCTCCCGATCTTCCGATACAGGATAGTCTACTGCCTTCAGAATAAAGGCTCCTTCGGGCATACTTGAAGGTAAAGGGTCTCGAAGATGAGTCAAGAAATCACAAACCCCCGCTCGAGGAGTTGTAGAGATAACTTCTTTTGGATTCAGGAGCTTCAAAGCTCTCTCCAGCTCACCGCGAGAAGAGTGCATGGAATAGCAAACATGCCATACTCCATATCCATCTCTTACAGCTTGTGTTGAAGAAGAAGTCACACTACGACGTCTGGATCCTCCAAATCTACTGCCACAAAACGACTTTTATTTAGCCTAGCTCCCTGTGAGAAATCACAACTAAATAAGAGAAATACGAAATTTGAAAATTTCCTAAAAGAGTAGCCAAGTTCAGCATACATACCTAAAAGAAGGAGGGCCGCTGATTACTCCCGACCCATCTCCTTCCAAACGCTGTTCATAACTGTACCATTGAGCAGATGGTCGTATGAAGAGAGGCTGTGCACTACCATCATTCTTTGCTTGCTTGATGGCATCCATGGCCCTCTTATACAACTTGGGAAACCCCTCACATATCTGCAAAATTGAAGCCATGTACATCAAAAGGTCGTGCTTCAATTCCCAACATAGTTCAGCAGTTTAATTTTGAATTCCTAACGTAATTCAGTGGCAATCGAACTGAACCTAAGCCAATTTCACTGATGTTTGGTTAGGCATTGAACTCATTTTTAATTAATCACGTCAACAATAAAGATCTCGCAGTCTCGCAAAAAAAACAAAAACAAAAAAAACGCCTACGAATCCAAAAACTACCCGATATCAACAAACAGGCTCTATAATCGCTATGCGATCCTTCCACTCAAACCTGAAGAAAGAAGAATCAACCAGTAAAAATAATTGTGTTATAACATGCCATTTTTGGCTGATTAGTAAACTTAAGCCCCAGATACAATGGGCTGATCATTCAGACCAAACTTATAGCTCGAAAAAGATTGAGAAAGGGGAGTAACACGAGACAGAGTTCTAAGTTGGCAGGAATTAAGTCGTACCTCAAAGCGCGTAGACTCGCTATCACTTGTCAAGAAATCTGAAGCTACAACCTCCAAGTCTGCAAGATATCTAGAAAGTCCGTCTTTATTAATGAATATTTTTTGACCAAAGCTATTTGCAACAGCTTCCAGTAGTGTCTCTTGTCCTAGCATGTCGCATGCTAAATAAACTCTTGCTTCACTTGAATGATTCCAAATGCATCGTTTGACCTGCAGAATATCCTTACTTTAGTATAGGGACGTGTAATACAAGAATTCCAAATTTTATGAGTAGAAAAAGTCGATGATAATGTACCTGTTCAATAGCCTCCTCTATTGAAGGCATGACCATTGTCACATTCCCGAACGTGCAGTCCAAATATACACAATCCAAGGCTCTCCCACTTCCACTGATAAACTGCCTTGGAAGCTGGTTAAGGCATTCTATGGTTAACCTGCAATCGCCTGTGTGTAACAAAGTGCCAAAGGATCCCTCGAATAACAACATTATTGCACCTTCAGACACCAATCCAATGAATATTATGAGGCTCTGGACACATGGAATGTTGACCGCTGCTTGCTGCAACACAATGCAGACAATTCAGGACCTAGTTTGTTCGTTTAATTTTATGCATTCTCTCACTACACAAAGCACAACTTGGTGAAGTCCTAAGTTGAATAAAAAGATGCCAGCCAAATTTTCTCGGTTCTTCTGTATAGACTTTGCCACAACTATCAATGAACGCGGATTCTGCAACTAGTGCAAGAGATTGATCATTACAAAAACCAATCGATTTTATTTAAGATGGACAACTAAGGTCCATGTTCATTGTTCAAGGTGCAAGGACGTATCTACTTCTAAAATACGATCATTACAATATGTTGTGGTCGCAACAATAAATTTCCACCTCTGCCTGGCATCTTACACATCTTAACGGACGATGGCCGCTTGATCTAAAAACATTTCTACAGTCCATTCTTGGAAGGCATTCAACATATTGTACAATGAATTAAAATCAAATGATAACTTACTAAGGGTCCGAGGAGCGTGAGGTAAGGCAAGACAATGGGACCTACCAGGACAATGGTTAGCGTCAAACGCCGTGACAGTAAACGCCTGATCCTCACCTGCTAGCAACTTGGGTTCTCCAATCTCCAAGTTTTTAAACAACGACGGGTGCAGCTGCCACAGATTCCAACAAATACTGAAGCATTAAATAAGTAAGAATATCAATACAGCCAATTCCGGAGCACCCGAGACTCGCTTGCTGGGTTTCTCATTAAACGTGATAACGAGAGTGCCAACATGAACTTAACTCACTGAGCTCAAACACAGAATCATTGAAAAGTGACGTTATCATGCAGAACGATTCGGATTGACAATTGGCTGTAAGATATATTAGAAATTTAGAGGGCTTCATGATTTCAAACATGAGGCCATTACATAATGAAACTAGTCCTTTTTTATGGTGCAACACACATCACAAGGATCGTCCTGACACACAGTATCCCCCAAAAAAGTTCAACAAAAGTTAACTATCTTTAAATAAGAAATTGCAAGAACAGTTTCAAGAATGAAATTCGAATCAGGAGGCCAACGCACCGTGGGATAGCGACGAAGGACAAGCTTCTCCGTAAGAGAAGTACAGTAAATGGGATGAGTCCCGTGAGAATCAATTCCCACCGTATGATCCTTGTGAGCGTGAGTGAGGAAATGAAACGGCTTTCTCATAGCCATTTCGGTCCACGTATCCACCGAAAACGGATACTTCTTCGACTCCACGCCCATCTTGCTATTCAACTGCTCTCAACACCTTAACGCACTACATCATGCAGAATGTGGTGTTTCTACAACCAAGCCAGCGATTTCAAAACCTAAACTGTGGATGCATGAAACCAAACCTTTCAACCACCCAAACCACATGCTACCAAAACGCAACAACCGCGTGCCTCGCCAGAAGCGATGCAAATCGACACAGCCCAAATTCAAAGATTGTAACAAACAGCCCAGATCGCAGAAACACGAGAAATATAGACTTGGCAATCACATTTCGCAGCTGATCTAAAGAAGCTTCGGACCCAGAAGCAAATTGCACCGTTGTGGGAGGTCAACGCCGCAGAGGTCACAAAAGACAGGGGAGGCTTGCGAATCATTCATCCGCATCAACGAAAAACATGTAACTCCGTTGGAATTAGAAGTATTATGTTGAATATTTGGATGACATTCGTACACCCTGACCTTCCTTGAAGCTTGTGCTCGATGCAGGATGAATCTTATGAGGTGAAAGAGAAGGATATTTCAATGTGAGAAAAGGCATACATAATTATTCACACATACAATAGTGTTTGTTCACCAAATGGCTGTTTTGGATGTAATAAGGATAATGACTATCACCAGTTTTTGTTTAAATTACTAGTATATCTTGAGTAAAGTTCATGCTCGTTTTTGTTTGTGGAAACAAGCATGAACTTACAATCTGCTTGTTTCTGTAATAAATCTAATGTAAAATTGGGATCCATTTTTTAAATCTTGGATTCATAATTTGTTATGGTTTAGGTTGTTGGATGAATAGGTTTTACTATGTTTAAATGGTTTCAAAAATATTGTGGGAACAAGCAAAGTTATTATAGTTTCCATGCTTGTTTTTGATTGTGGCAGCAAGTAAAAAAGTGAATAATTGAGAAAATATTTAAACCCAATTCAAATAAATATATATTTTTTAGTTATTAAAAATGTGTTAGAATAATTTAATGTTCAGTATGTTTATTAAAATTGAAATCTAAGATGTGGACATGAATCTAAAAACAAATGCCAATTATACTTTACATGTAAGGTTTTATTATACTATCACCTTTAAACACACACATATATATATATATATATATATATGTACTTCATTCGAAAATGAATGCTTTTTTGTTTTTTCTATATCACTAAATTCTCGAAATCTGTTCATAGTGATACACCGGTGTAATAAATGACCGAATTTACTATTTAAATTGATAATTTTGTAATAATCTAATTTCATTATAATAAATCTTTTTGAACCCATTTAAACATAGTAAAACCTATTCATCCATACAAACTAAACCATAATAAATTATGAATCCAACATTTTAAAATGGATCCCAGTTGTACATTGAATTTATTTAGTTTGAAATATATTTTATTCCAAATGGATCTTGATACAATGTTGAATGGAAAGTGTGCAAAGATATGTAGAACAAGTAGTATTTGATAAATATAAATCAAAGAAATGCATAATAAAGTGTTTTAGTTAATTTCATGTGAAAGCTTAAAATTGTAAACCAATGTGGAATTTTCTGAAAAAATAGATTGAGTGAAAATATACATACATACATACAATATCAATAGAAATAGATATCAAACTTCATTCTTGGCTATTTTTCCTTCTTAGCAAAATATCTATTTCAATATGTGTGCTGTCTTGTCACTCCAGAAATTTGATTGACCTATTCAACGTATATTGTGACGTGGATTCTTCCAGCAATTCCTCCATCATCAGAAAAATAAATTGACCTGTTATATTCCGATTCACATGATTAAAAAAAAACACACACACACACACACATATTGATTACCATATATTTTAATGCAATGGCATCTAATGGAAACTGATATGTTTTCTGCATGGAATAATAAGTTAAAAAACCCAATCAGTCAATCACTTAAAACACATAAAACTTTGTCACCTTAGACGAAAACGGTTGCTAATTTGGCTTTCAAATAACCCATATTAGGTATTGAAATCATGTATTTGTTGCAATGGTATTAATGTGTCACCTCCACTTTAATTATTCTCCAGAAGCAAGGCACTTTTTCCTCCCATGACAGCACCATTTTACTAAACTATTATTATCCAAACCTCCACCCCCCAAACCCCACCCTCACATAACATTGTTTTTGTGAAGTCATCAACGACGTCATCTCCACGTGGCCCCCTGGGCTATATTTTTCAAATGACAACAATCCAAATCCCAACATCACATGCAATCAATGTATACTCCATTACTCCATATTTAACGAATCCTAACAGATTTATTTTGTAAAAGAAATACTAGTAGCAAATTTTCTCGCTATGGGATCTACCGTAATCCTCGAGGCACAAGGTGGTGATCCAAGGAATGCGTGACATGGACAACGAACCACGTGGGAGGTAGAATTGAGGGGAGATGGGGCCAGGTGTCCGGCAGTGTGAAAGAGCTCGTTGCCATGAGAAAAAGGGGATTAGGGCAGAGAAGAGGTCCGGTGATGGGGGAGTCGACACCTATCGAGCCAGGTGTCGACCAGGGGTCATAGAAGGGCACGGCCATAGGGGCCAAAACATGGTAACGGGCTCTCAGGGCTCGTTTGCATGCTTCCATATCACATGTACATGTCTTGTTTGTACAGTCGGACTGCCTCTTCAGCTGCCACCTGCTTCCTACCTCGTCCCCGCTCTCGCCCGCCCTTGCCCGCCCTCGCGCTGCTCTTGCTCTCGCTCTTCCCTCACAGTTCAAACCCACCCTTGCTACGAGCTCCATTGTTGCTTCGCTCCCTACAAGCTTAGCTCGCGTGCCTCCTCCAAGCTGTGTGCCCAACTTCGTCATCCACTACTTTCCATTGTGTTCTTTGACCGCGGTCTATCGCTCCCGCTGTGAGAAAAAATAAACCAACAGTGGCAAAGAGCATCGACGGTGGAGTCGGTTGTGAAGAGAGAGCTTTGCCGACGTTCCACGACTAAAATAATGTAAGTGAGTGTGGAAAGAGTCGTGGTGGATGTGCTCTGCCTGCGCTGGATCATATTGATGCTCCGGTGAGCTCGATCCGTATTTGGACAAATTTGTTGCGCGTGTTCCTTTGCTCTTGTTGATGTTGGACTGGTCTTTCACCGAAGGTCCGAAGCAAAGGATCTGGGGGAGTGAGAGGAGAGACGGTGGATTCCTGACGGAGGGGAAGTCTTAATAGCGGTGTACTGTTGTTTAAAGCTTTCTGGATCGGTCGATGACTGAAGAGGATGGTATTAGATCTTTTTTTTTTTTTTTTTTTTTTTTTTTTTGTGATTCGCTCTGTTTTTGTGTGAATAAAACGAGTCGACGACATTCGCATGGTGTAACCTGATCTCGAGAAGACGGTAGGGACTGCATTATATGAATCAACACTGCTTGTTCTCCACTGGAACTAGTTTACAGTCTAGTACGCATCGCGTTTCGGTTTCTCGGAGTGATGTTTGAGTTCATTCTGTGTTGTGATCGGGAGTCGGTAACTGCTGTGGTCCATTCTGTTCGATATTGCGCAATTTATGTGATGAACAGTAAAGTGTCGCATAATTGGAATGGATTCTGTGAACTGTAGGTGTTTAAGCGTTTGTGTATCAGTTCACACATTTCTTTTTCAAGGAAGCTCAAAGTTGCGACTATTAAATGAGGAAATGGTTGGGTGGTCTTTTACCGAGTCTTTCATTTTGAACTGTCTTTTAATAGTTCAGTGATCATCCCATGACCGACGAAGCTCCGCTGCACGAATTATGTAGCGGAAAAATTTATTGTCAGTGTGAGGACACATGCTATCTGCACTGAATGATATTTTTGCATGTTTAGATTGCGCAACAGTTAAACCTGACACATTGTACCAGATAAGTCAGGAGTGGAGGTTGATGAAAAAAAACAGATTGACTTAAAAAAACACATTTTCTTACAAAGTATGATTAAATGTGTTAAACATCGTTTTCCAGTTCGAGGCCTGTCGCGGAGTAAATTGGTGCATCGAGGCTTTGAGGCACATCTGTTAGGCGATTTACGAGACATCGTTTCGGACGAAGGTCAACATAGTTTATTTTGGGGTTTGACGACGTAAATCTATCATGGCACGATCCATAGATCCACTTGTGGTAGGAAAGGTGATAGGAGATGTTATTGACACGTTTGTGCCAAGCGTGGATATGGCTATTCACTATTCAAGCCGACAGGTGTGACATCACTTTCATCCATTTTCTTATGTTGTGCGCTGTAGATGGTGACCATAATGTGCTCTTCACACATTTTGTTGTATCATCGTGATTTTAAGTGCCGAGTTTTTTAGTTTTAGGGCCTAACCCCCAATTCGAATTTGCAGTTCCTTGTGGACAAGAGGTTATCTGCTATGTTTACTTAGAATGCAAAACATATTTCGGGCGTTTGCATGGTTCGACCTCACCTCTTATCTGTTTGTGTTCAGCGGGAAGTGAGAGTTGAGCACTGTTCCATTTACAGGCGGTATCTTTCCTTTCGTCCAAAGACAGTGACAATCGATGAATCTTTATTTCGTAGCACATTGCTGATCATTTCTGTGGCTTGTGCAGGTGACTAATGGATGCCAAATGAAGCCCTCTGCAACTGCTCAGGCGCCAGAAATTCAACTATCTGATAACAGTGAGGGCAACAATTATTACACACTGGTATGGTAGCTCTTCTGACTCTTAGTGTATCGTGCTGCTAAATTTCACGTTTTGTTGTATTTTAGATGATTTTTTTAAATAGTGGGTGGATGGTTGTCGTTGACCATATTTCATCACAGCCTCATCTAATTGTTTGCTAGCTTGCAGTTCCACGTGTAAAATATTCTGTATGCACAATTTGACAGCATCGATGATGGTCCTGGCTTCCACGATCGCGCTGAAAAGTAGTGTCCGTTGGGCTGTTGCTTATTTATTTTTCACTAAGTTGTTTTTGTCGTTCTCAAACTCTACTTGGGAACGTTTGATCTTAAATACTTGCACTGCTTTGCCAGACCAAAGTTGGCTTAATTATGCCCCTAAACTTAGGTGTGTCACCTTCAATTAACTTGGGAAACATTTAAGTTTTATGAATTTGGTTTTAAGTGCTTTTGCAGATGTTGATGTCATCTATTTTAGCACTTGCGTTGTAACTTGATGTCTTTGGGTATTGGGGACAGATTATGACGGATCCGGATGCTCCAAGCCCCAGCGAACCAAGTTTGCGTGAATGGCTGCACTGGTAATATTATCTTTTAAGGCTGTTTCATTTTTTATTTGTGTTGCGTGAATATGACTGTGTGCCTGGTTGTAGTCCAAATCGACTATTGTTTGAGGAAGTGGATGATGATCGGGTTAAGTTGTGTGCTTGGTCCATAAGTCGGAATATAGTGGACAACATTTAAGTGATGAAGCAAATCAGTGACAAGATGAGCTTCCTAAAATTGATTGCTAGAAGCATTCTCACAATTTAAGACACTAAGTGCTCCAGCAGTTTGTTCGCAGCTAAGGTTCATATCAATTTGTTCCTTATAAAATTTTGTCACTCCTATTGTCATGGAGCACATTTGAGTTTCGGTAATACAACCAAACGGGTAACCTTCCATGCCGAATGGACTATTTTACGTTCTGACTGATTACATTGATATAACCAGGATTGTAACTGATATACCTGGAAATTCCGGAGGTTCAGAGACCACTTCCGGTGAGTACAAATTTATAACGTTTAGATTGCATCGACTTTTGGAGGCCAGCGTTTACAGTTTCAGGTTTTGCCCTTAGTATCATTAAAATCAGCGTTGTGAAATAGTATGAACGACGATCTTCTCAGGTGGGATAGAGTTTCTGCTACTTAATTGTTTTTGAATCTGGACTTTCGTAGGATTTTCATGGTTACAAGAACAGGTGACGCACACAAGCAGCTCTGGCAGGGAATTGGTACCATACATGGGTCCACGCCCTCCTATAGGCATACACAGATATGCTTTCATATTGTTCAAGCAGCCTTCGACACCGTTTCTCATTTCCCCACCTACTGTGCGCAACAATTTCAGCACACGCAATTTTGCATCACATTATGGATTGGGTCTTCCTGTTGCAGCCACGTATTGCAATGCCCAAAAAGAACCTGGTAGTCGACGTCGTTAAACAGTTTATGAACACTGGTTTGCTATTTAAACCTGCCAAGATGTATGGAGATGATTGGTATATACGCAGTTCGATTCAGGTAGCCGCTCCTATCTCGAGCAATGAAGTTAGTGTTTTTTGAGTTTGTAAAGTTACTGCATGTGATGAGGTGTAACACTCAAACCTCCCAGACGAGCCTACCTTATTCTCAGGTAATAACTTCTGCACAAAATTCTTTGAATATCAAAATTTGTTTCATATTCATGTTCGATCATTGCATATGTGTTCACATTTCATTCTCGTACACTGCTGAAAGTCCTATTCAGAATTTATTCTAATCATTGAAATGTTCCCTCTTCAAGACAATAGATGTAACGACGAAAAATACTAGTCTCAATTATCAAGATCTTATACTAACGTATTTAATAATGCAAGAACCATTTTCAGTATTAATGGAAAGTAGTCCACTATCGGGATTTACTTCCTCCTTCATATTGCTGTCGTATGCGTTCGTATCTTTCCAACTCCAAAAGTGAAAGTGATGGAGTTATCTCTTGCAATGCCTATCAAAAAAAAGTTCGTTAGCGATGGAACATTTCAACAATAACACCATTGTAATATACAAATCTAATGAAACTGATAATACAAAGCAATCGCCCGCCGTGCAACCAATCGTTTGCTCGCATACCTTCAGGAAATCATCCTGCTTCACCACTACAGTATCATCCTCATTTACTTCATAACCATTATCTATAGCTTCCTGATCATCTTCAACCTGCAGTATCAATCCACTGGGCACTTATAACATGAAAGCGACAATTATAATGACCCCTATTTCAGCAGACTGTGAATGTAACTGAAATGTACTCGGAAACTGCAGCATGCTGCAGAAAAATTACTGAAAACTCAAAAACTCTTCTGACTAATTTTTCAATAATATGAACTTAAAATTCCGTTAACAGTGTTAATATATGCAGTAGAACTTAGGGTAAAGCTTGGTGATTAAAAGTCGAAACATCTACAAGTATTTACCTTGCGTTTCGCTCCGTTCATCCAAGCATCCGCGCAGAGTGCATAGAGATCAGCACCGGTAAAATTAACAGGACACCGTCGTGCGATTGTGGGAAGCGAAACATACTTGTCTAACTTGAATTTTCGAGTCAATGCTTCGAGAACCCTGGCACAAGCAGTTGCGTTGGTTTTCAGGGTTTAGGGTTAAATAGACAGTCTCAAAAGGACCGAAAGGAAGGATAGTAACGTGATTCAGGATACATGGTGGCGTGTATGAAAATGATTACCGTAATCGATGTGTGGATTCGGTGCTAACTCCAACGTAGAGAAGTTTATCAAAGCGACCCGGTCTCAGTAAAGCCGGATCAATAAGGTCAGGACGGTTACTGGCACCAATCATAAATAAATCCTGTGCAGCATGTGCAGGCCCGAATGTGGAGTTCAAGTTAAGAGGAATATAAGTGGACTAAAAGTAACCATAGTGCCTAATATGTTGCAATTATTTGTGCCACTCTCAATTCTATGTATTTGCGTAAAAGCTGATATGTGGGAACGTACCTGGCCGTTGTCACTGATGCCATCAATTTCCGCAAGCATCTGCGAACAAGATTTATAAGATGACATTAATTCATGTAAACATGTGCACACATATAATAAGATTGACGATGTGTATTAATGCGTAATTAGAGCTTCTAACCTGAGAAACAACTCTGTCCATAACCCCACCAGAGTCTCCTGCTGCACCCCTTGCCGGGGCTAAAGCGTCAAGCTCATCAAAAAACACCACACATGGTCTAGCTGCCCTTGCCTGCATCACACCCGTATAATCAATCCATATATAAATCCTAAAATTGGAAACAAAAATTGAGTATAGTCGGGATTGCATCTTTTCAACAACTAAAACTCTTCACCATCTGATGTATACAACTACAAACAATGAAACATACAGGCTCGATGACTAAGACATACCCATGAAAAATACTTGTTCCTTTCACGAAAAGATCAGTCAGCGTTAACTAAAGAGATCAAAATAGCTTTTCCATTCATGAAACTTTGAGTAGCAGATGTGTCTGGGTAAATACTGAACCTTTTGAAATATATCTCGCACATTCTTCTCTGACTCTCCAATGTACATGTTGATGAGCTCAGGACCTTTGACACTCAGAAAGTTCAACGCGCACTCAGTGGCAACAGCCTTGGCGAGCAATGTCTGCAACACAAACATCACGGTACATAATCGATTCAGTCATGCAACCAAACTTTGGTAGTGTTGATAATTTGCCTAATGTTCAGAACAAGACTTTCTATCATAAAAAGCACAACCGCAGTCAGCATGTCTAATGAGCTCGAAATTATCTTATACCTTGCCAGTTCCAGGCGGACCGTACAACAACACGCCTGATCGTTTTCGAAGTCCAGAAGCAAAGAGCTCACGGTGCATCAATGGTAACTGCACAGTTCGAAATTTCCGATGCATTAATACAACTGCATTGACATCCACGCGGAGACGAACAACAAATATTATTGGGAAACCGATAGCACGAATCACACATCTTCCTTAAATTTCATAATAGATAACTATCCTTCACCCGACAAAAAGGTGCAAGAAGCAGCACCTGCACTGTGTCGAGAATAGCCTTTTTCACATCCTCAAGCCCCCCAACATCTTCCCATTTCACATTTGGAATCTGGAAATACAACAACAATATTGAAAATAGTAGTAACAATGCCACATGCACGGGATGCAAATGCTCTGTCGAAGCAACATATACACTAGACTTCTTGACCTACGTTTTACTGCTAAGTTGGAACTTCATTATAAAGTCTCAGTCCTAAAATCATGCCTATGGCTGAAATAATATGCAGTCGAACAATTGCTGAGAACTCAAACGTTAGAAAGGCAAATGCACCTTTGGGGTACCAATGGCAGATGCAGTTCGTTTCTTTAGTCGATCGAATGCTTCTTGCATGTCCTCAGATTCAATAGGAGCAACAATCACATCACTATGATGGTTCACTTCCCGATGGTCATTGATCTCTGTTCATGATTTCAATTCTCGTAAGAACAATGAAGACGGTTCTCATGCTTTCTAAGCAAACTGAGATGGCAAGCTCCATTGTGCTCAACTAAACAGCAGAAATCAAGTACAAGAATAGTTTGCTCAAAGAATCTTCAAAACATAGCTTCTTTTTTGACTGGACCTCATGCATGACATTCACTACCAAACGACTAGATGAAAAGGAACCAAGGAATGTAGTAGTCGAACAAACCATCAGCTATGGTTCCATCCAATTGAGACGAAGAATCATCCTCACCATGGTCGCCATTTTCTATTGTCAGATTAGAATGGTTCTTGTTCTCTTTACTTGATTTCAAAAGCCGACACACAGCATTAGCTCTAGCATCAACAGCTAGAGCGCGGAGATCCCTTGGTGTCGATCCTGATGTTTGAGACGCTACAGACTTAATGAGAGACATCAGCTTTTCATCCTGGTAGCAACACAGATAGTAAGTCATGATCGAACTTCACAATTTTGATGCAAGAGACCGAGATCTATCAAGTTCATGTAAATTCATATTTCATAACCCCCAAAAGTAATATATTAGTAGCAACTAGTCATTGCAAGTCCTTTTGTTACAAAACCATGATGGCCCAGCCTTAGCAGAAGGTGAATGAACATTTCGACCTTCTGTTCAGAAATTTGCGGAAGAGCAGTTGACAGAGATGCAGTTTCCTGTGTCAGTCCAAGGAAGTGATGGAGCAACGTCAAACGTCGAGATTCATCCGGACCTTCAACTTCAATCGTATGGGTGAAACTCCGTCGAAGAGCAGGCTTCAAATCCTCTTTACTTTCCAATGCCCCAACAAGCAACACCAAGCCGGGAGTAGGTCCTTTGCTATCAACTTCAAACTGCATCTTCAGCAAGGTCCACTGGTCAAAAATATTGCAGAAAGTATACTCTCTTACACTCCAAACCCAAAAATATACTCTTTAAAAACTAGACAAACCTACTAGGTTTCGCGATGTTTACTTTAAATCAAATTATATGCCATAAATAATAGGGCATTATAAAATAGAAACATGCCCTCTGGACGCATACTTAAAACAATATTCTCGGAGTACGTAGTTCATTACGCAGAGAGTAGAATCGAAATAATTGATCGCCGTCATACCTTTGTTGCACCCAAACCTTCATCTTCATTTTCTGATAGTGTATCCATGGAGAGGTCCGAGGTGGATAAGCTATTTTGATCATCGCAAGCTGAGCCAAAATTCTCCTCCTGATTATGTTCCAAGTGAGCATGTATTCCTTCACGAAGTGCAGCGCCTATCAGCGATATAGATTTGGGTTGATCTTGTCCTCCGCCAGATAAGGATTTGGATAAAGCCCCAAAGCGCCTCAACAAAAGCACAGCCGGAGCATACCTAAGTGCAAGAGAACCATAAGGATTGCCTTAGTCCGGAAATGTTCAGCAACAATCAGATAATAAATCACGAAAATCGTCAAACTAATATACACAGCTATCAACAATTGATACAAACGGTTAATACCTGCGAGCAGTTTCAAACGCATCAGCTATGGCAGTAGCAGTTTTGTTCTCAGTGGCACCAAGAAGATCAAAACAATTAACGTCCACGACATGCAGCCCCAACTCTTCAGCAGCCATCTTTACTATAGTTCGCTTCCCTATTCCTGAACACATCACACAAGAAGACAGTTCCGATCAACCATGTGCACTTTGAAGCTAGGATCAGCAATTCCTTCAATTCATCGAAGTTTTGTTTCCTGGTATTGCTCTCTGCATTGCTCTGGGTAAATGGACAGCATATCAGTAGAGATATGCGTTTTTACCGCCGATCATCATGACTTCTGTAAGCTAAGCGACTAAACTGATTTGATTAACTGATCATTTGACACATGCCCTGACTTTTACAATTAAGGAAGCAAAGAGACATTCCAATATCAATACGTAATGAACAGTATGTTTTGGATCATAAAAGATCATGATTTTGTGCATCATATAGTTTTCACCAAGATTTCTACCGAAAATCTATAAAGCCAATCCGTCGGCATGTAAGAAAGCTGCACGTATTCATGTGCATACAGCTCTGTAAGACCATTGTAATAATGATTCATTCAACCTGGAATTTTAAATAGTGTAAAAGAGGAGACTTGCACCTGTTGGCCCATGAAGTATTACTGCAGTGCGAAGACTTAACCGAGAAGCTTGAGGATGTATACAAGGAGCAAACAACGACTTCAATTTCTGTACTTCAGGAGGTGCAGAAATTTCAGGTGAACTTAAGCAGACAGGCTGCCTCGAACTCATCCATTTGGAGAAGCCCAGAACAGGGGGTGGTAACTCCGAAGGTTCAGCACCACCGAGTACAAGAGCTGTTTTGTGTCTGTTTACCAGTGAAGAACGTCCCGACGGAGGCTCCAAGCCCAAAACCTGAAAAACGTATTTAATTGCCAAAGAAAATCAACATCAATGGCAGTAAACATGTCCCGCAAAAACACAATGATCGATACCCATGCGTGCTAGAATTGTTTTAGTTAAACTCCAGCCAATTACTTCTTTAAGGTTAAAGTAGAGAAATCAATACTAAGTAGCAACATCATCTTCATGACGATTGAGAGCGCTTATACCCATAAGACTCTTGCACCACGGTAATTCTCCCGATATTATCATCATAAATCACGTCACATAACACAATCATAATGCTTTAAAAAGGGCTACGGGAGAAACCTTGAAATGTATCAGCTCCTCTTGCATGGAGTAGACATCCCCAAATGAAGCGTGAAAGGACGGATCAGGAGACGGAATTCTTATTGATAAGATATCGCCTATAGCCACCAACCTGTCAACTTCGAAATAATTTGTCAACGCCGTATCAATCCTCTCCTGTCTGTCCTTCTTAAGGGCTGCTAGATAGTCTTTTTCTTTACTGAAATTCGCTGCAGACGCAGGAGTCCGTATGTGTGCAATCCGCATATGGGCGGCATAGTGAAATACACCGTTCGAAACTTTGTGTACAGCCTGGTGTGCAAGGCTCTTGGGTACTTTCCCTCCAATGTAAACATGAAATGGATACAGCTCTAAGGTTGATGAATTACCAAGGAGATAATCACCACTATAGGGATGGGTTGATTCAACGTCTTTGTCATCTGAAGATCCCTTTCTAATTAACATGTCCAGCCATGCTACATGTAAGCCTATGTTGAATGCAAGAGGATAGGACAAGTATGCAACTTGATGATTCACGGTTTCGATCTTCTCAGATACCGTGAAGGAAGGGAAAAATGTTGATTTCTCACTGGCTTTGTGCAAATTCACTGAACCATTGTCCAAATCACTTTTCGAAGCGGACTGCATCTCAGGGGGGTCAAGGACGATGACTCGTGCTGGCCTTGCAACATTGGTTATCAAGTTTCTGACTAGCACCTGCTCAAGAAATTTTTATACAATTACTTATTTGAAATCTGACTTCATATAACGTCGAGACCAGTAGGAAACGTACAATCAATCTTCCGAAACCCTAAACCTTAAACCTAGAAAACGAGAAACTTGTTGGATTGAGCAATGTTAATCCAATTCTAAAGGCAGATATCAACAATGTATCCTTCAATGCACCCAAAAATCATGCGGGAAAGAATTCAGGCTTAAAATCCTTCAATCCCTAAATGATTCTCATCACCAGTACTATCTAGATTGGTCGAGGAAATTCATACCCAGGAGCCTGATGAAAGAGTGAGGTTTCGTAAAGCTGAAACAGACAACCCCAACATACTGGCTTCGTCCCAAGGAGAATTCGCATCCTTCTTCATTGAATTATTCTCGGGCATCCCCCGCATGCAATCGCTTGGGAAAAAAAGCAATCCCGGCTTAAAACGTTCAGGAACTCTCGAAGAAAGCCGCTCCGCTCTCGCTTGAGGAACACGTCTCTGCACAGACCCGGGTCGTTCTTTCTCCTCTAGCCCGGCGAGGACAGCCTCAGCCGTTTCCTGCAAGACTAGAGGCTTCCGTCCCCGCGCCATATCTGAATGCGCAACCTTCCTAAGAATTGCTCAACCTCATAACTCCAAGCTCTAATTCCTTCCTCGATTTCGAATTCTATCTCTAATCACGCATCACTTCGCTTTATCAATGCGTCAAGAGCTCTCGCCCTCAATCCAGCTCTTCAATTGCCATGTCAACCTCTACCACTCTCATCATCCCTTCATAATTCCACGTCTCACAAAAACCGAAACTCCAACCACCTTCTCGTGACTTCTTCACTCCAATTCTTCACATCACGCCATCGAAGACAACATCAAATTTCCAAGAGTTTTCCGAAGGTTTTCATCAGTACCGCTGGCAAAACTATACAAAATGACCTTCAAACAAACTGCGAAATGCGAAGGATTTGAAGAGTTGAACTTGTGCAGTCTCATCTCTCGGTTACTAAACTGTACAAAATTTATGACTTCTTGCAGTGCAATAAACAAAAATCCACAAATAGAATATTTTCTACTTGAATTTCGCAAATCGCCGATCGCTGCCCCCAACCATCCAACTCCGAGTGCCGATTTGCCGATTTCGCAATACCTATGAAATATAACGTATTTATAAAAAATACATACATGTATATTGTATTTTCCTTAGTGTGTATTCAGCACCGATACACGGTCAAATTACGGTGCGGAATACCTGGTGTGAAATGATTTTGCCAATTCTAGGATTCATGGGAGAAACCCTTGGTTTGGTAGTATTGTAGAGTTTTAAGTTTTAATTTAATATCTATTTTCTTAGAATATATACCCATAGATTATTTTAATTCTCCATTTCTCAAATTTATTAGACACAACACTTCATTTGTGGAGGTTACAATGTCTTGCCATTAGTTGTCAAAATGTGTGGCCCCAGAAAAGCCCACCATGCCACTCAAAACCTATACTTTGGTAATTTTCCCACTAAAGGTAGTGTGTCATAGTGGTCTTAGTATTTATAGGTGAATTTACTTTGTATTATATATTTGGGAGTGGAGAATAAAAAAAAAGAAAAAAAAAGAAAACAAAGTTTGAGCATGACATTTAAGCATATCCCTTGATGTACTTGATTGTCTTTTGTTCTTGCTTTTTAAAATACAAGATTGTATGAAACATGAGATTTATAGGTTTTGTATAATAAAAAGTATCAGTAGGAAAAGATCTTAGAATTTTTTTCTTAAATTACGTAAATAATTAAATTAATTTTTTAGAATCATATTTAAATAATTGTTTTAAGGAGTTTTATATTAAGGAAGGAAACAATCAACTTTAGTATGTTCAACAGATATGATTTTTATGTATTAAAAAATAATAATAAATTAATATAAGATATAATTTTTTAATCTATTCATAGAAAAATAATTGATTCTTAATATCTTTAATAAATTCTTATTTTATGTATATATACTTATCTTAAATTTTATATTTAGTTTTTTATAACTTAAAAAAAACTTTTAAATAAGAAAACACTTTTGAATTGTTGCCAAAAACTCTGAATTATTAATAATAAAGAAAGGGTTCTAGTTAAATACCCTTTTTAGTCTATCATAATCTATATGTAAGACAATTTATTTCTTCAAGAATACATTTGGTACTTTATAAAGTAAATTGATCTCAAAATAAAATTTCATCTGTACATCTACATGATGTTAGAATATAAATCTTTAAATGATTATTTAAGTAATTAGCACATGTATGATGAAGAATAGATGAAGAAGGTAGTTTTTTTAAAAAGAATTTGAATAATAAGTAATTAGAATGGTTCTTACAAAATAAATAAAATTAGATAATCATGGAAATATTATTAGAATACATGAGATATGTTGACTAGATTCAAAATAACCTTAATCTTATTTCTACAATTGCTTGTTAACAAAGAAGTAATGTATAAGCTTTTTAAGGACTACAATACTTGTTAAATAATTATTTTAGGACCAAGAGACTTCTATTGTTATTTCTTAAATCTATTTTTTTATGAAGAAGTTATTTATAGACATATGATACATTTAAATTTTTTGTAAATTTTAATCTTTGTTCAAAAAAGATATACTTTGTTTTATACGAAAATTAACATCTTAATCTTTTTATAACTTTTTGATTTATTCCTATTTACTTAGGTAATATAATTATCTATAACAAGTAAAAATATAAAATTGTTATAATTATGCAAAATATGTAACTAATGAATGATTGTGATATTTTATCTTATTTTAATTCTTAACCATGTTAGTAATGATTCTTAAATATATTATATTTTTTTAATGAACCAATAATACTATCAATAAAAAAATTAATATTACAATTATAAAATTTTAACCACGTAAGGTGATTTGATATTTATTAATTTATAAAATAGAAAAAATAACATGTAATATTTGGCCTTCTAAAGTTGTTCTTATTTATTTTAATTTTTAAGTTATATTTTTTAATATAAGTGGTTGTCACAAAGGTATTACTTAGAATATAAGTGGTTGTCACAAAGGTATTACTTAGAATATAAGTGGTTGTCACAAAGTTAAAATATAGGTTAGGAATTGGTCTACCATGCACTACACAGCAGCGTCAGATCCCTCAGTTCACCACAAAACAACTGGGCTATGGTGTTGAGAAAAAAACTCGCATAATTACAATCAGTGCAATTCATGTACATCACAGTGGAACCCATATCGGGATCAAAGCAGGACAAAAGCTCTTGGCCCACTGGAAACACTGACAAACGCCCCACAACAGTTGCACACATCAAAATGGTATCACTCCGCCACACTTGTCCGCCCAGAACTTCCCAGTTGGGTAGTCTTGAGGGGGATGAAGTGCTAGCCATACTCCAGTCATGGCCCCCTCCTCCACTGTATGGCCCTTGCTGCTTGTCATGTCAGTGCTTGTGTACCCAGGAGTGAAGCTATTCACGTACACTTTCTCACCATCCGGGCGGTTGCTCACTTCACGAGCCACCACACTCATGTAACCATTCACAGCCATTTTTGAGACACAATAGCTTGCTGAATAACCTCTAGCTGGCCATCCTCCTGGCCCCTTTCCTGTCTTCATCTCTTCCATAAATGCCTTCACAAACTCGTCCACCCCATCCTCCGTGATTTGTTCCCGGTTCTTAAACAACTCCTCAGGGTAGTGGTTTCTCAATGACTGGTTCACATCCACATCCAGTGGGTTACGTGCAAGCAGATTACGTTTCGCTGGAGGCAACGTAAGATTGCTTCAACATGACAGGTAGAATTTTGAGGGAGGAATTCACTGGTTTGGCAACAAAATTTCATGATAAACGGAAGGATAGGATAGATAACATACGTTTAATTGACCCAATTTAGAAGAAACGATGATGACACGAGCACCTGCTGGCGACTGCCGAAGAACAGGAAGCATAGCTTTCGTCACATATTTAACACCGTAGTAATTGGTTTGCAAAGTTGTGGTTATGTCCTCCAAGCTTTCATTTTCTTTGTAAAGTACGCCAGCGTTGTTTATCTGCAGAAAAGAAAGACTAGGTTTAGGTTCAAATGTGTCAGAAATTATTAGTCTCAAGCGTACATGGACCCGAATGCTTCGAGCTTCATTTTCAAGTGGTTCAAACATTCTCTGTGCATTTCTCTGTTCAAAGTGGGATGAGGTATACAAAATCATCATCGGCAATCTCTTCAAGGTTGGAAGAGAACAAAGCCGCACAGGTTACGGGATACTGTGCTCTACCAAAATATCGACTCCGCCATAGGTTTGCTTGAGCCACTTCGAGAGCGCAGATGCAGACTCCTCACTGCACACATCGAGAGGGTGGAAAACAACACGGTCTGAATTAACTTCGCTTCGCAAAGCTTCAACTGCCTTGTTTCCACGGCTTACATCACGAGCTGTCACGACGGTGGTGAGGCCATTTCTAGCAAGCTGTCGTGCAATCTCATAGCCAACACCTTTGTTCGCGCCTGTCACTACGGCCACCGTGTCAGCTGACCACCACCCACACATAATTTTTGAACAAATCATATTAAATGTCAATACTGCGATGCCGTTCCTTGAGAACCTCAAAGAAACACGAATCTAAAAAATGCCCAACTTGTTTTCAACCAATCAAGAACAAAAGTAGAAAATAAAAACAAAATCAAATGAGGTGGCGCAGTCTTAGAAACATAAACTCGCGATTGGCAGCGACCCAGGTTTGCTGATTCCACTTCACTCAAACACACCTCATTTCAGCGCCGGGCATCCTTCGCAAAATTTTCAAAACGATAAACCGAAGACGTTCTCTGCTCCCTTTCCCACGGCAATCTCAAGCTCCTTCCCTCCAATCCACCAAGGTTGACGTCGTCCACTCACTCCTTTAGGATCTGCATGGTTTCCTCTGCGCAGTCGACTTCATGAAGAGCTTGCTGGTTTAGAACTGGTGTGCAAAAAGCCCACACGTCACACTCGAAATTCTGGATGATATGACACTTGCCCATTCTGATGAAAACTCCTCTCAGCTCTGTCATCACAGAAAATCCTTGTGAACGATCATGAACTCTTCGTGAGAAGTGTGTATACCACATGTGAATGCATTCATCGAGTACATATTAATTAGGTCACAAATGAAAATAAAAATTTCTATCAGTTAAATGTAAACATGCAACAAAATGATTCATGAAATGCATAGAGTTACCACTTCTGCTTTATACTTGGCTTCCATTTTGAAACATCCGATATATTAGCTTTGAATATCGATGGATATGAGGAAGCTGCACCACAATGGAGAGCTGTAATCTACTGTGGAATTTGTGTCTGCGTGGAGGCAAGATTAAATTCAGGATATTAAATTAAGCTTACTCCAGTTTAGGTTTCAGTTTTTGAGCCTCGAGAATCCGCCACTTCCGGAATGTAGCCTTTTTGAGGCAACTTTTCGTGACGTATGTGAGGTCCACGTCCGGGACCCAGCTGTGACGGTTCATGACTGAAAGGAGAGGATGACTCTGCGGCGTGTCTTATTCACATGAAATAGCTTCCGTGTTGCAAATATGAGTTTTGTGGCTCACGGGCATCCACCGAAGAAAGGTGGTTTGAACGAACGCCTTCATCCACATCCTCTTTGCTCACTCCTCCCTGCCTTGCAGTACGCTTTCCTTGTTTTGCGTCCCCGCAATCTGGTTGTGCAGATTTACACGACGCATTCTGGTTTCATTGCTTGGATCCTCCGGCCACTGCTATGGTGTTGCCTCTTTTTATCTAGATGCGTTCCAATTAAGCCGTATTGCGCTCAATTTGAGCGTCATTTCAGGCACTTCGAATGTTTTCTTGAAGCAGTGTTGCGGAGGTTTTGGTAGTGATTGCCGATGAGTTCTTCGTGGACGGTCTTCACCCTTTGACTTCGTGTGGATTTTTTCTCGAAGGTGCCGAAATTGGCGAAACCCTCAATTCGACATTGGCATTCCCGTGAGTGTAGTTTTTCTTCCCTTGTTTTAATCCGCTTTCGGATGAAATTGGGCATGTGGCGACCCCTACACTGTAATGAACTGTTGATTTCGTTTTCAATTTTCTGCTCTATATCCTCTCGATTTGATACCACTTGGACGTTGTGAAGCATTCATTTTGATAAGTGCTTTAACAGTTTCTCTTGCTGAAGGATAACGACATTGTAATTTCTTTTTTCCTGAATAATTTCGTTCTATAAACTTGTACGTTTCAAGTTAGAACAATTGAAAAGCCTTCTTGCGATGACTGGGCTGAGGTCGCCTAGGCGGGAACTATTTTTTCATCAGAGCTGAGAGCCTCAAGCTGTTAGTACTTTGTGAACTTGTGTTTCTAGTATTTTTAAATAGAACCTGTGACTGCTTTCTACATGAATTACGTTAGATTGTCGTTATGCCCAAGATCCCTAACAGCAAAACTTTTCGTCTGCTAGCTGTAAGGCTGGCTTCACAAGGCTACTGAGTTAAAATAAAATGTTAGGAATTAAAATTATAATCTTTCAATACATGATATAAGTTTGCGAGTCTGTTCATGAACTTTTGATAGCTAAATTTTTTTGGGGGAAGTTTCCACGCGGAGCGTACTGACGCCAATTGAGTAATTTTGTGGACTCAAAAGTATGATGTTTTAAATAATGTAGTTGGGAAGCTGTGAAAGGCTTCTCTGTCTTCTGAACGTTCGTTATTGTCACAATTTCGACCGTTTTCACGGCCACACAACTAGAACTAATTGTCTAGGGTGTAAGAAAATTCTGTGTCCAATTTAGGAACTGATCACTGCGCTGTTTGAACTCGATTGTTCTGAGTTGGTGGACACAATAACATTATTGAGACTTGCATCGTTTTGAGGTGGTGACGGTCAACTTGAAGCATCAATTGGGCCATGAACATGAGGATCGTAATTTGGTGTTGTTGGCGAAGATGTGAGAGGCAGTTTGAATGTGAAGCTTGATTGGTCAGTGTTATTTAGAGTGGATAAACATTTGATTCTGAAGCTGGTAGTGAGTCGTAGCGTTGATCGTTTTCGAAGAATAATTAAACGTTTTCAAATGTTTTCTTCGCAGTGGAGTTGCAGCATGATTGCAGCAGCAGTTCCAACCGCACATGTGGCCGGTTCATGTCGTGGCGTGGATTCATCGATTCGATTTCCTTCTGGCCAGCTTCAATATAAAACCCACGGCCCTAATGCCTCGGGCTGTCTGGCAACACAGGCATCTAGGGTTCAGCCGGGATGTTCAAGCACCTTCCCCCGAGGAGAGAAACGCACAGATGTAGGATGGTTGAGCAAACAGAGACTCGGTTCCAATGCACTGGCAGAGAGTTCAAGCAGTGTAGCCCGCCATGGAGGCAGGGTAGCAAATGTGAGGTCTGTCATGGTGCCCGTGAGACCGACGGAGCCATCCTTGAAGGACTCTGGCAATGGTGCAAGTATGAGAGCGACAGAGATAGTATCTTCTCGAGGGATTTCGGGAGTAGTAGAAGATAATGCAAGGGGCAGTGGAACCATGGTTCAATCTGCTGCTCAGGATACAGATGCTGCAGAGGCGCGAGCTAGTCTTCGAGCGGCTGGGGTTTACGGCTATGATCCCATCATTCTATCACGCCGCTTTGCTCGTCAACCATTTAAGGTATCGATATTATACACTGAAAAGTGTAGAACCCTATTGATATCTGCAGTATCGGACATGTAATCTGTGTATCTGAAACATCTTCTTGCAGGCATTAATAGATGTTTTGAAGGTGGTCGAACGAATCTGAGAGTTTATATCAGGAATGTGTTGCTCAGGGAGTGAACCATGTTGATATGCGTACCTGTACTGACTTGACCTGACCGTAGGTGGTGGGGAGGGCGTTACAAATAGGGACAGGCTTGGGGTCATTTGCTTTTAGTATTTTTCTGGACAAGCAGAAAGGACTTACTGAGGTAAATATGCGAAAACGGGCGATTGAGTTTCGAGAGAGATTGACGCAGCTTGGCCCCACTTTTGTGAAAGTCGGTCAAGGTCTTTCTACAAGGCCAGATTTATGTCCCCCGGAATATCTAGAAGAGCTTGCAGAGCTTCAGGTGTGTATCCCCTCTACCTTATTCGTAATAACAGCTTCACATCCTTTAATACTATCCGTATTAGTTAGCAGTATGCTGGATCGCAACTGCACAAATTACTTGTCTGAACGACCGCTTGGTTTAGGAAGGATTATGTAACACCAGGTTTGGAGGATATCGAAATTTGCGTCCTAAACTTCTTCCTGTCGAGTATTGGATATTCATTCCGTTTGTTTTTACAGGACGCATTGCCAACCTTCTCAACAAAACTGGCGTTTGAATGCATTGAAAAAGAGTTAGGAATGCCGCTTGAATCCGCATACTCAAGTATAACGGCCGAGCCAATTGCTGCAGCAAGCCTGGGTCAAGTGTACAAAGCTGTTCTTCGCAGCACTGGAGAAACTGTTGCTGTGAAGGTTCAAAGACCCGGCATTGAGGAGGCAGTGGGCCTCGATTTTTACCTGGTCCGAGGCTTGACAACTCTTATCGATCGTTACACTAATCTCATTACTAGCAGCGTGACTGATTTGCTGGACGAATTCGCCCGAAGAGTGTACCAAGAGCTCAATTATGTACAGGTACGTATATCCCTGCGACCACTGTTTTACTGGAACTTTAGGTTGAATGTCAATCTCATGTAATAAAATATACCAGATAACTCCTCTGATGTACACCTTCTTACATATCGTATACTTGTAATTGTGTTATGAGAACAGGAGGCTCGTAATGCCAAAAGGTTCAAACAACTGTATGGCGATCGAAGTGACGTTCTGGTACCTGGGATGTTTTGGGACTACACCAGCGTAAAGGTCTTGACAATGGAGTGGGTGGAAGGTACTAAGTTAAGTGAGCAAGCAAGGATTGAGCAACAAGGTTTGAACATACTACAGCTAGTGGACACAGGCATTCAGTGCAGCCTTCGTCAGTTACTAGAACATGGTTATTTTCACGCCGATCCTCACCCTGGCAACCTTCTTGCCACTCCCGATGGACGGCTGGCTTTTCTGGACTTTGGTATGATGAGTGAGACTCCAGAGCAGGCCAGATTTGCCATCATAGGGCATGTTGTGCACCTCGTCAACCGTGATTATGAAGCCATGGCCAGAGACTACTACGATCTGGACTTCCTCTCGCGAGACGTCGACGTTTCGCCCATTGTGCCTGCGCTTCGGTCTTTCTTTGATGACGTTCTGGGCGCCACTGTTAGCGAACTAAATTTCAAGACTATTGTCGATGGATTGGGATCTGTTCTTTATCAGTACCCCTTCAACGGTAGTTATAACCGAACTGATTGTTGCTCAATTCTTTTGAGAGGATATATGTAATCAAGAGTAGCTTAATTTGAAGATAGTTCAGAGGACGTGGTTGTGTCCTTGTTTGCATTATTGGCAACCGTTTTTGTGTTTGCTGACAAGTTGCGTTATTTGCCAGTGCCTGCTTATTACGCCCTCATTTTACGATCGCTAACGGTGTTGGAGGGGCTGGCACTTTATACCGACCCAAACTTCAAAGTTCTAGCCGCCTCTTATCCATATTTCGCTAAACGATTGCTGACCGACCAGAACCCTTACTTGCGAAATTCCTTGGTCGAACTTCTGTTTCAGGATGGAGTTTTCAGGTTTTCTCTCACTTCTGTTGAAACACGCCGTTTCATTAGTTCCAGAATGATTGCATTTCTGTTGCAAGTTCGAGGAGGATATGAAAAAAATCTTTCCTCGTACTAATATATTTTTCTTCTCATTGGTTTCAGTCGATTGCTTCCGGAATAGCATGACCATCTGGTATGATTTACAACCTGGGCGTATGTTTCTAGGTGGCAACGCTTGGAGAATTTGTTAACGCAAGGTCGCAAGGACTCAGATTTCAAGGCAAACGATGTTATACAGCCCATAGTAGATCTACTATTGGGAGAAGAGGGAGATGAGTTGCAGCTACTTGTAGAAAGCGAGGTTGTACGTGTGACTGAAGCTTTAATATTGGGTACTGCAATCCAAACCTACCAGCAAGTCCCTGCACCTCTACGCGCATTCTTTCCACCAATTCGAACCAGTGTTCAGGACCAATCATCCATGCTCGCTTTGCGTGACCAAGTGTTAAGGATTTATGGTCTTCTTCAAAGCTCCAGAGGATTTGATCCTGCAATGCTTCAACCACTTGTTGAGGTACTTCTTTAGTTCTTTGAATTCCTTTTCTCTGTGCCTATTCCCTTTTTGAGAATCTATCTTCTTAGCAATCGCTTATATCAGCTACTGACTTTCCTTCATATATTCCAAATTATACCACTTTTCGTAAATTTGATATTGTGCAAGGCCTCATATCACTGCAGCAAAAAGAAGCCAATATTTCTGACGACTCTTTCTGGTGTGGATTAGGTCTTGATGAGACCTAAAGTTCGTGCATTTGGAGGGCGCGTTGCTGGGAGTGTGTCACGACGTCTGGCTGCGCGCACGTTACAACAGTTATTACGACCGGCACCTGCGACTACACCTGTGGAATTGATGTCTTAACTAATCTAATATTCAGTTCTCTGATTATTACGATAGTTGTCATCTAGTTACAAGGGTGTATGTGGGATCAACTTAGATTTAACTTAGGGTCCATTGTTAGTGAATAGCTAGCTCTCCTTTGTAACATATATGAAGAGGCCATGAACTGCTTCGCCACACAGCATGTGTAGTGGAAGAGAGGTTCCAGGGCGCTTATTTCTTAGAAATAAAATTCATTGATTAAAAATGTGGATGTTACAACTTCCACTGTTACCCACTTAACAATACAGGACGAAATATCTCAGTTAATTAATCAACTTTGTTAATTGCACCTAACTTCTAATCACCTAAAACAAAGACATTCATAATAGCTTATTTTAAGGTCCAAAAGTCCATACTTGTGGATTGTGTGATGCCATCTATTTATTTCTATTTAAATCTGACATTTGACAAAATAAGTTTGTTCTTTTTTTCTTTTCTTTTAATTGTGTTGTAGCCCTAAATCTAAGAGGAGTCTTGAGAAGATATTAATCTTGCAACTTATGTTGTTATGCTCTCTTCCACTTTAAAAGATTAATATTTGTATTGATATATTTCTAATAAATTATTATTATTATTATTAGTTAATAATTCTTATATGTACATGTTTTTGTAAGAAGTATGAAGCAACGTACTATGTTTCTCTTATAAAAAAAATATAGTTTTTTTTTTTTTTTTTTTTTTTTTTTTAATGAAATTATTGATTTCTATTATAATTGAATATGTTTCTAGCAATATGTTAGATAGCTCTTTATCTTGAAAAACTATGAATCTCAACACAAGTTACGATTACGTGGTAGTTACTACACAAATGGTTCTTAGATATCAAATCCAAATCTAAGACTTGCTTATTCTTAACACTTCCCAACTTTATGATATAATTAATAAATTATGTATCATAAAACTTAGTTTAAGAGGCTAAATTTATAATCAAGTACTACAAGACTCATCTTTTACTTTGAACAATTTCTTTGATGATTTTTCAAAGGACTTTTTTTAAAAGTATTTATTTTTAATTTTTAATTTTAATATTTTATAAAATAAAATTAATAATGTTACACTTATTGGATTTTTTAATCTTTTTATTCTTTTTTTTTGTTTAGTTTATATTTGGATACTATATTAAGTAATACATTTTTTTTAAAATAAATCTTTAATAAGAGTTTTAAATGTATTTTAATCTCATAATATACAAATTAAAACAAAAAAATATTGTATCAAATCCTCTCCTTTTTCTTACAATTATTTTTGGCTTAAACATATAACTTTCAACTATTATGGAGCTACTTGGAAAAATTAAAGTAATATGTGTGTCTGTGTTTTTGTATTTTTTATTTTTTGATTATTTTTTAATAAACAAAAAATAATTATACTATGCTTCCATCAAAGATGTTAGGACAAGAAATCAAATAAGAAAAAAAAAAAGAAAAGAAAAATACTAGATTAGATACAAAAATAGATATTAAATTTGGAGCAAAAAAATACATAAGTTTCTTCAAAAAATTCCTTAAAAATATTAAGATACACCCCTATACACTTCTAGTTGATCCTTTGTTTACACTAAAACAATGAAAGTTTCTACAAGTAATTATAAGACTTATTGAATATCTTAGAAGTATAACAAATCTTGTATAGACACTCTTAAAAGACTTAGAAAGAGCTAAGATGGTTATAGAGGACTATTAGGGATTCTAAAGGTTTTCAAAAAATTCTAGATAAAAGATAAAAATTCTATCAACTTATAGAATTTTCTTAAAGATCTTAGAAGATATTTAAGATTTTTATAAACTTGTAATTTTTTTAGAATATTTTTAAAGAGTTTATAAGGTGCTTCATTTTTTACTTTTGATAGCATATATATATATATATATATATATATATGTATATAAATATTTCATATTTTTATTTTCATTTTTATCTTTAGCATTTTTTTGAATTATCCTATAATTTTTTAATGCTGAGATGCTTTTATTCTTTTATTTTAAGTTTAAATTTTTTATTTTTTATTTTATAAAATTTTTATACCTATTTCTGAGTTCTTTAACTATTTAAACAAACTCTTTTATATAATTTTTTCTCAATTTTGATGCTGGTTCTAAATATCAAAAATATAAAATTTATTTTTAAAAGTTGGATTTTTTTCTTTAAGTATTTTTTCAAGTTGCTTCAATCAAATTTTTTTGAAAGGACATAAAAATATTTTATTTCATTTAATTTATTTCTTCCATTGGATATTAAAGTCATTTAAGTATTTACGATTTTTTTTGTTTTGTTTCTCAATTTGAAGAATTGCATCCTTTTGATGAACTTTTTAGTACTTTGATTGAAATGATAAAGTTATAAAATTACTTACTTCAAATTTATGTAATATTCTTCTGAAAGTTATTTTTGAAAAATTAATTTAATAAAAATCAAATCAATCTTAGGAATTTTTCTTGAATTTGTCAAAAAAATTTAAAGTTTTATTAAATTAATACCACAATTTTACTACCAATCATTTTTTTTTATCATTCATTGTAATATCAAACTCAAATGCTCTAATATCACATGTAATAACAATTCTACTTGATCTTAGCTTTTAACAACTATCTTATTCCCACACTCCTAACTTTTCATCACTTCAATTTAAATAATTTGAAACAGCTTATCCTAGACCATTGACATCTCTACATGTAAATTTTGTGCTACCAAACCAACTGCTTCTTTTTTGCCACTTGCAAAGCAAACGTGGTCAGAATCACACTTTGATTTGGAGCAACCCCACATCTAACAGTTACCTAAGCAATGGAGGTAGTAGACTGGCAATGGGGGTCTCGTCACACCCACACCACTTGCTGTGCATTTCTATGCTCCTCTGGGAGAATCTGAGCTCGTTTCCCAAACCCCTTCGAAGAGCATCAATTCTACGTAGCCGACTTCAGCATGATTTGTACAGTCCACATGCCCAGTAGAAGTAGGCCAGTAAAAGACCCATCTTTTCACAATTCACTTATCTACATGAATGTCCTACAACTCACAAAACCTGCTTCGGGAGAGTCCTTTTCTGCAACACCTGCTGAGGATCCAACGCTAACAGACAATTGCACTTTTATTTTTATTTATTTTTTATTTTTTATATACCGTTCGCGTTGACATATCCAACGCAGCACTGCTAATTTCTCGTCTAGCATGAGATTCGGATGGTGCGCTGAGTATTTTTTAGAATTAGACGAATTCAATCGCGCTCCACTATGGGGTCTTTCGGTTTTTCCAGAGTAGTTTCAGGTTGAATGATACAGGTCCTTCGCAAAATCTGAAAACACGAATGCTTGCAAGTAGGCTCAGAAAAGATCGCGAAGAGGGTATCAGGTTACAGCAATGGCAGCCCTGATGGAGGCAAAAGAACGCATCCAGAGTGGCCTGGTAGGACCCAGAGTTTGTGGCTGGAATCAATCACACCCCAACTGGGATGAGGATGGATGGAAACGGCGTTTTGTCACAATCTTTTTTCTTCAGGACAGGCCTGACGATCGAACTGGCTGTTCTGCCCGGGGACTTGAGTTGCATCGAGGAGATTTGGCATCGTCACCATGAGGTTGGCTGACTTTTGCAGGGGATTTTTCTTTCCATTGCCCATGCCATTGGGCTGGCACCGAACCGCCCGGGTAATCTCACATCTCGCCGCAGCGCCTCACGTACTCGGCTTCTGGAGAATTTCGGGGTGGTTTGTTAAGTTGTCGGATCCTCGAGGCTTCGTTGCTGTGCAGTGATTTCCCCGAGCATTTGATTTTTAGGCCCGAATTGGATGTCCTTGTCCTCCACTTCCCGTGAGGTTTAGAGATGCTGGGCCAGGTCTTTAGATTTTGACAATTGGTGATAGATGCCTCGTGGGTTTGGCTTTGGTTTTGGTTGCATCTCATACGCGTGCCTTAAGTGGGATTTCATTTTCGTGGTTTTGTAAATTTTCTACCTCTCATCGGGTGTCGTTTCTTTGGCATCGTTAGTTTCTCGTTTATCGCGGGTTTGGGGGTTGTAGCTAGCAATGGCAGAGTGTGTCGTCTTTCTTAAAGGCCTGCGGTTAGGGTAAATTGTTGCATGTGTTGCGTGCTTGAGCGTTCGAAAGAGTGACTCTCTTTAATTCTCCATTGCTGCAACCAGCAATTGGCACTGTTGCGGTTACTTTAGCTGGCGGACGCGCAGTGGGTGTTAAGTTCTTTCAAGGTGAGATTTGCAGTGGATTGCAAGCATGAGGGCGGTTGTAGCCGCAGTGGGTGCTACACTTCGTGTGGACACTCTCTCTCCCTCCTCGACTGCACAGGTTGTGTGCAAAACCAATTTTCTGAATGCCTCAGGATGCCTCGCTATACAAACTGTAGCACAGCAGCAACGGGTATGCAGTAGCTTCCACAAGGTCGAGAAAGCCTTGGATGTCGGGCTTCAGAACAAGCGTAGGTTTAACCATTCAAATTCCTTCGCTTGCCGGTGTTCTGCTTCTGGAAGTTCGGAGGACGCGAGCAACGTGCCACAGGAGGGAGACCATACAAACGATGGAGAAGTGGGGCCTTCTTCAGTGTGGGACTTACCTTCTCGGCACAAGCAGATGCAGGTATATTTGCTGGAATTCTCAATTGCATGTGCACGTAGCATGGGATCTCTATGGAAATGTAATTCTTTAACTTTATACGGCTGTTTTAGATTCATCTGTTTTTCGGATACAGATGTGCATCCTTTTTGTGTCATGTATTGTGAGCTGCGATGAGTTGAAGAGATTTTCGTTCTGTCATTGCCTTCGAATCCTCCTCCAGACCAAATGTAGCTTTCTAGCTAATTCTTGTTTCATTCTGCTTTAATCTGTAAGCGTGGACTCTGACGTGCATCTTACCACTTTTTGCTTTCTTTACACAATCGAGTGAATGTGTTTGTTTATATTGCCCAACTTTTTTGCTATAGCTTATGTGGTTGTTGATCAATCTTGGTACGCTAGTTTCATTGATCCAGCGCCCCGTAAGACTTACTGTATGTAGTGAGTGTGAATTAGGTGAACTTGCTGGTAAGTACAACAGCAAGATTAGATCATATTGGCTAAGGTCTTTGATGCTGAGATGCACTGCGTTGGATCCTTACTGTTTTACAATATATTTAACAAGTTCCGAAAGAAGATGCTGGAAAAATCATTGGGTTCGAAAAGTTGATGAGGACAGGGAGCACCAGAGTGCAATGGCTATCCGATTTTCAGAGAATAATTGCAATAGTTCCTAGTTAAGTAGCCCGACTCAAGAACGGAAGTGCTTGAAAAAGCTTCGCTAATGAGCGGCAAGTTGAGTATTGAGTGTTTCTAGTGAGTAAAGCGTGAATTGTGCTAGTTCGGTATGGGCGCAGGCTGCGGCTGCCAAAATGGGGGACCCACTGCGTGACATGGTAAGTGTTGCCAGTAAGAAGCTGCAAAGCTACTTGGACAGTTACAATTCCATCAAGACGAAGGCGGAAGTTGATGATGAGCTCGTGCCTGAGCAGGAGACAGAGCAGGAAAGTGATTGGGTGAGATGGCAAAAAGTGTTCGCAGAGGTTGAATCGTGTGAAAGTCTAGCCACAATGCTAAAGGTCAGTGACCATTTCATGAACCTTGTTATTAATGGCAAACTTTGCTTTTGATTTCCGGATTTACTTTTTGTGTGAGTGGAAGAAGAATTTGGATTAAAGTTTTGACTTATATGGTTGTCCATTCAGATTCAAATGGAAAAGGCTGTTGAGCAGGAGGACTTCCAATCTGCTGCGAAGTGCAAGGCTGCACTTGATGCTGTAACAGAGAAAGATATAGTTGCAGATGTTATGAATGGGTTAGAGGTATTCGCTTAGTGTCGCCATGTATTTGATTGAGTTGTTAGTCGAAAGTCTGCGTCGTTGGTTGTTCTGTGTAGATTATCCACAAAAAGGATGAGTTTCAGAGTTTCAAATTAACATTCTCTTCAATTCTTCGTTTGAGTTTTTGATTCGGGGTGTTTTTCGCGTACCAGCAAGCCTTGGCTGATGAACGTTACGACGATGCGACATTGCTCAGGGATAAAGCAGGTGCTGGCCTGGTAAGCGATGGAGTTCTTTGTCTATGATGTGTCCCAATTATATAGTTTTCCGATAATTGTTGTATGGCAATGCTGGAATTTTGATGCTAGGAGAGAAAACGATCGCTGGTGTAGTTTCATATTTCCTTATGAGAACTCTTTCTTTGCGCACTGCAATTTGGTGACATAGATAATCGTCAGTAGTTAGGCTAGTTATAGTGGTACTCTCGTGTATGTTCAGGTTTAAGTTTGTCAACCATCTCATGTGTCTGGCATGATCAGGTAGGGTGGTGGGTTGGTCTTGCGGAAGGAGGAAATGACCCTTATGGTCGCATAATTAATATTTACGCTGCTCATGGACGACTTGTTGCTAAAGGCTACACTGCCAGGTTTGCTCAGTTCCCTTCCTCATTGTTTCTCAATTTCAGTGGCGTACTTGTTTCGTTAAGGCGCAGGTATATGATGGAATATTCTGCAAAGCGGTCTTTTACGCCCTACCTTATCAGTGATGTGGTTGTTGCACTTCTCCCAGGCAATTGGCTACCGCTGCTGCTGGCGTGCCTTTATTTGAAATTTTTATTACGAAGGAAGGAGAAAGACACTATGGGCAACAGGTAATTTATTGAATCAATTCTAGGCTCAATGTCGCAGTCAATGTGGAGTCTTCTCTACTAGAATGCCTCGTATGGTTTATGTTCTCTGGAACTTCTATTATAACTACCAGGCTATCAGGGTGCAAATTATTCAACCTTGTGAAATTATTCATGTTATTCGATCTTTTCACAGAGTAATCGAGATATTGTCTACTCTGAAGCAAGTTTGTGTCTTCTTCTTTAGGACTCTTATCCTTGTGACTCTAGATAACGTGAGGAAAAACAAGTGCATCATTGAGATTACTATCAATATGACTTGATGGTGCACTGGACTTAAGCAGGCTGTTTATTTGCAACGAGATGCAACTGTGACAACAGAACCTTCATCTGGCTCTGCAGCGGCTGTCGATACAAATGTATTAGATGTTGAGAACTCAGCAAGAGACGAGGATACTAGTAACACTGCGGAAGAATCGTCAGAAGACGCTTCGGAGAGTAGGAAGGGAAAGGCTGGCGATAGTGCAATATTAGACGAGCCTTTGAGTAAAATTATGAGTTTTTTAAAGGATCGTATACCAGACGTCAAATTGAAAGTGTTCAAGGTATTTTTTGCAGTGTGTGGCTGGTACAACATACCCTCTTTTGCTGAACGCTGCAATCATGGCTGCTTTTATGATTAAATAGGGTTCTTTACTGATTGGCATTAACCACATTGTTAGGCGGCATAGTATCATGTGGATGTTTAGCACCTTCGTTGATCACTTTCGGAATCACATTATCTGTTTGTGTTCTAGGTTATTGCACCAGAAGGTGCGGATGCGGAGTTACCAAAGATAGTGGAGCAACTTATGGAGCAAGAGGATTCAAGCAGCAGCAAGCAACAAGATCTGTCTGAGGCTAGCACCAGCAATACCAATATCAATAGTGCTACTGAGAAGAAGGGATTAGGTAGCAAGTTTCCACTTGATGGGAAGATTCCAGTAGGAGGAATTGGGGAAGACGAGAAGGAGATGTCTATTAGGTTAGTTGTAGGAGGTGTGTTACAGAATAACATAGATTCTGAGCCCTCCAAGCTTCCTGTTCGAGTTCCTGCTAGGATTGAACATAAAGGGCAAAATGCGTTTACTTTTCACATAGAGGATACAGGTAGCACGCCAGCTGGGGCTGCTCCATCTAAAGAGTTATCATATAAAATGGCGACTATTGCATCCCAAGCACCAACTGATTTGATGGCGGATGATGTTGCGAAAGTTCTTTGGAATGTCGAGACGGTACCTGTGAAGGTAAGTAGAGTGGATCAGTGTAATTATCGGAGTTTTCTGGAATCCTTTTTGAGCTGCTATGATAGTTTCCTGGTGTATTAGTAGAATGCTCGTACGCAGGAAACTTGCTGCTTGGTGTTAATCACAAATTAAATAGTAGCACAGGTGGATTAAGATGAAACTATGACACTATTGTTTTTCTAATTCCTGCTTTCATGCGTTAGGTATCTAAGGAGATGAGTGAGATCATCAGAGTAGCTGTTAGCCAAGCTCAAAGACGGCGAGGCTTGTTCACCAGCACCAATTTTCGTCGAATCAACGTCTTAGAGAGTAGCACAGATCCTCTTTGTGGTCAATATCCTCTCTTTGCATTATGTTCAATTTGTTTCTTTACTATTTTTGTACAATACTCATGATTCTCATCTTCAGTTATTGCAGATATCATGGAATGTTTTGATTCTACGAAACGTATATTGGTGAGTTTTGCAATAATTTTTGCGCTCTAGGATGAACATCGAACTTGGTGATTCAATAATATGCAGGATTATATATAGGCGCGTTCGGACCTTATACCTCGGAAGTAGTGCAATTGCAACGAAAGTATGGTCATTGGGAAAGCGATGAAGCTAGCGCTAGTGGGCAAAACTTGGAGTTCTTCGAATATGTGGAGGCTGTAAAACTGACCGGTGATTTGAATGTTCCCGCTGGGCAGGTATGCTTTAGTCACCCTACTCAGTTCATTCACGAATGTGCGCACCATCGGCTTACAGTAATATTGCAAGTTTTTGGGAAGTACCTGCTAGCCATGTTTTTAGTGATGTTGAAACTCTCGTTTAGTCTAGACTTTATGGACCTTCAAAATTAGACTTTGGTCTTTTTGTGTGATTCTTTGCAAATGGAGAATTAAGTAATAGATCTGTTTTACGAGCAGGTGACTTTTAGAGCCAGAACAGGGCGAGAGAGTCGACTATCTCATCGTGGAGCTTATCCTGAAGAACTTGGAGTGGTATGTTTTAACATCCATTAGGTGTCTTTTGTTCAACTTCCAAGTTTTTTCTTAGTGTAATTTGCAGATGAAGCCTGAATTTTTGTGCAAGGTAATCAACATAGGCTTGGGAAGATGTACTAGATGAAAGAAAATACATGTTCTAATATGAATAAACATTAACATAAAAAAGAAGCGCGAACATAAATCTCACACCCCCATCTTTGTAATATGCCTTACTGTTCACTCAATCCGTCGCAGGTGACAAGGTACAAAGGGCAAGGAAGGTTAGCTGAGCCTGGTTTTCGCAATCCTCAATGGATAGATGGTGAACTTGTGCTTCTTGACGGGAAGGTAGGTTACCTCATTGTTACGAAAGTTTTTAGGATTCTTGTGAGCTGTCCATGCTTCTGCCATTTTGGCATTCTAAGCCCATAGCTGTAAAGCAGTGACTGCATGAAGAACGATTAACAATGCCCATACATGTTATTTGCAGGGCGGAGGTCATACAAATGGAGCGGCACTCGGCTTTGTGTATTCAGTTCCTGAGCGTCACTTTCTTGTACTTTTCAAAAGGTTGAATCTGAGTCTAGATTAGGTTAATGCCTGGACAATATTCGCCATATATCAGTAGGATTATGTAAAATGAACTCAACGGATGGTCGAAGAGTTGAATTACTACGGTGAAAACACCAGTGTGGGGGGCTAGAGTTGGTGTGGAATCGAAATTGGTGAGTAAGTTTCTGGATCCAACATACTGAGCGATGGACGAAATGCAAGTTTCAAGTCGATTGACCATCATCAGCAATTGGTCGAATTGGTGTTCATAGTTTTGTAGAGGATGCTGAAAGTCAGAAATATTGGACAGACCACGAAAATTATCCATATTTTTGAATCTGTACATTATCATATGTAGTAAAATCAGGGAAGCAGTTGTTTTCGGAACCAACCGACCATTTTTTCAAAATCTTTCGTACAACTCGTTTGGATTTGGAATCTGACATCATACACTCAATTCTGGGCATGCACTTAAGTACGAAGGCAATCTTATGCAGCATATATTACGTTACAAAGATCAAGACTAAGATTTTACGGCCAATGATGGGAGCTTCTCACAACCGTCAGGGAATTATCCTTTCTTACATTTTGGAGAATTCAGAATGCCAATTTGATACTTACAGGGTTGAAAATATCAATTTTTAAATTCATACAATAAATAATCGTGCCTTAAACCCTTTGTGTTCATGGTCGCTTTAACATTTATAAACCTAATTAGCACGTAAGGTTAGCCATCTCAAAAAAACTGGAAATTGTTCTGAATGCCGAAAAATGAAACACACCATACATTCACATATATCATTCCTTTCGCTGCATTCAAAGATCTTCTAACAAGTAAACATCTTTTCATCTACTGCTTGCCCATGCCCCAAAATAAACCCAATCACTCAAATTCAAAACCTTGACAAACAACCATTATAGTTTTTTTTAAATTATGGAGCAACCAGATCGAACTAAGAATGCATGATGTTCCCTTGCAGTGGTAAATTAAGAAAATGCACAGCAATTCATTTCAAACAATGAGTAACGTGGATACAGCCCGCATGACACTTTTAGTGAAATCTAAGTTCGTACCCAAAGTAAAGTAGCTCAGTTACAAAAAAAGAAAAAAAAAGAAAAAAAAAAAGAAAAACATTGAAAATAATTCTCACAGTTGTTTCAATACAGACAAATATAAGTCAACTAATACAAAAAAACTCGGTTAATACCAAAAAGTCTTCCTACCTAACACTACAACCAACAAAACATCCCTATTCAAAAATAAATTTCCTCAGCAATAAAACAAACTATGAAACCGATCTCATACACACCCCTTCAAACAACAATTCTTACCACCAGTGCCTCAAAGTTCACAAAAACGAACATGATTTCCCCACAACAAGATTGTGCCACAAGGAGGAGCAGCATCGTTTCTCCCCAGACACTTCTGTCGTTCCCCTGTGACCGGCTTTGTCAATTCCCTGGACCCGGATCGCTTGATTCACGAAATCCGAAGCACTACTCCAATCCCAAGCGTTGCACCCACCACAAGCGTACCGATCATATGCATCACACTTGACTAGTCTTCTTGTCCACTCCCACAATCATGCACAAAACAACAGCTCAAGGAAGGCCGGAATGGGATCCCAGGTGTGATGCCAGCACTTGGTTGAATAGAATCTTGGCTGATGGAGGGCGTGAAAGCGAGACACAACGTCGCCCCACGATGAATGCACACTACACTAGGCTAGGCTATAGAACAACGCCGACAGCTCAGTTCGCAGCGACGGCCGTCGACTCTGGCGCAAACCTAGCCTACTTCTCCACTCACTACAGCCTCAACTACAACTAACAGGGCGTACATATGCTTCGTGCTGTTGTGGTGCTCAGACGCGCGGCCTCCATGCCATGCCAGCTGCGCGTGCAGTCGGTTTGGGACGAATCCGAGGCGTTGCAATGCGCTACCTCCTGGATGCGCGTGCGCTCAAAGGTACGAGAGCAATTGGACGGCGCTGTGTGGTGACGCTCAAGCCTTGACGAAGCTGGCCTTGATGTGCTGGACTTGGTTCTGGTTCAGGTGGAACGCCTTCTCCAGCACCTCGTCGTTGATGGGAGGGTTGGCTGCGAACAGCGCCGGCGCCACTTGCTGCACTCCCGGGTTCTGGCTGCTGAGCGCCGCGATGGCCACCGCCGCGCCCTTGCCCACATTGAGCTGGAAGTGGACCAGCCCTCTGGGGAACACGAACACGTCGCCCGCGTACAGCGTGGTGGCGAACAGCGTGTTGTTGGTGGTGCTGACGAACCCGACGTACAGCTCCCCCTGCAGCAGCGCCAGGACCTCGGTGGCGCGAGGGTGGATGTGGGGTACGTTGATGCCGCCCTTGGCGAAGTCCAGGCGAGCCAGGGAGATGCCCAGAGTGTTGAGGCCGGGGAGCTGAGCGGCGGCCACGGGCGTGACGGCGTTGGCAGTGGGGCCGCCGGTGTTGCCGGGCTTGTCGAGGCCCCTGAACAGGAAGTCGTTCACCTTCACGTCGGCCGCGGGCTTGCACACCAGACCGTTGATGGTGAGCGTGCTGGAGGCGTCTGCGACGCAGAAGTCCTGGATGGGATCGGCGTCAGCCGCCATGGAGAGCATCGGTAGCAGAGCGGCCTGGACGAGGAGCGCCACGAACACGACGCGCTTGGCAAGCGTCTCCATTGTGCGCCCACTGCGTGACAACGATCGTTCACCGCTGGGGTTGGTTGGGAATCCCGTCCCCTCTCGGGTGTTGCTCGCTGGGTTGTCTTGTCGTGTCCTGAGCTGTCTTGTCCTGTCCTGGGGAATTTGAGCAACAAGAAGAGTCGTGGCCGCACTGATGTGTAGGGGCTTGGAGAGTGCTTGGTGAATGGAGCGATGGGAAGCCATGGGCTGCACAGCTCTTTTATACGCCGGAAGGATTCAAGGCCGTGCGCCAGGCAGCAGGTCTCGCTGCACGCGGTGCTGTAATGTCGAAAGGCGGCGCACAGCACAACGACGTCGCTGAACGTGAGGGGGCTTCACTTCGTCGTTGCAGGTCTCGACCCGCTGTGCTTTTCTCCGATATCTGGTCAATCGAGCGTTTCGCTGGATCCCGCGTGTTTTTTATACCTGAGAAAGCACCTCCGACCCAACTTGCCGGGACAAGCCCCGAAGCTGCGGAGGCTGTTGCGCTTTCGCATGTTGGAGGGAAGGGGGAAGGACGGGAGGGAGGGAAATTGATGTTGGGGGTGGAGAAGAGATTCCGGCACAAGAACATTCCATGAATGAGTGCCTTGGGATTATGTATTTGTTTGTTTGTTTGTTTGTTTTTTTTTGTTTTGTTTTTTTTTTGTATTCGATCTTATTTTAACTGTTGATTTTATTGTTTTCTCTCCCACGCGCTGTTGGATATGGTTTTGTGGTATTGAAGAATCATGAAAAGGACCTATTTAGTCATCAATATTTGGTGCTTGTTTGTGGGTTGAATTTGCTTAGAAGATGGATGAATGACATGTGAAGATGTACTCTTTCTTTTTGTCTTTCTTTCTTGTGTTGTATTGTTGCTAAGTAAGTATGTGCAGATGTTTTTATTGTCCTCTTTTATAGTTGTTTGAGCATAAAATGAGGTGGATGAAAGTCTCATGGACTAGGAAGAATATGGATGGCTTTGTTTTGAAAGGGCAAATAGAATGCAATTCTTAGTTTAATAAACTTTGATGAAAATGAATTAGGCATTGTAGATTTGACCCATTTTAAAGTTTGGGGTGGTTGAACAATACATATGAAATGTACATTCACAAGATAGTCAACAGTATGATGTTTGTTTAGTGATGTTTTGTTTTGTTTTGTATTTTTGTGTTTACATGGCTTGATGTAAATGTGTATAGATTGAGATTGTACAAACATGAGAAGGTTTTGGTGTGTAGATGGAGTACAAAATATCATGACACATGCATTTTGTGTACACACAATTTGTATTTGATTTATGATATGGCATTGTAATAAATCATTGTGTTTGTCAAATTAAGTCATTAGAAATTTATGAATTGTTAGTTTATGGAATTATTTTGTTTTAATTATTCATGATTATTTGAGTTTGGAAGGAAGAGAGTTTATAAATGCATGTTTGATTTATTTTGACAATTCATTAAAAAGACCAATTGATGCAATAACAAACAAACAATAGTTTTTGTTGGATTGGCTAGGAATTTGGTCAACACCACATTTAATCAAAGACAAACTTATTCTTCATTATGTATATGTTTTTGAAAGCCAAAATACGAAGAAGAATTGTTATTTTTAACTTTAGCCATGCATATGTAATGCCTATAAACACAATTTGAATGATTTGTTTGGTTTATAGAATTTTGTTGTTTGTACTCTAGTACTACAAATGAGTATTGCATTTAGATGGAATTATTAGTTCATTACTCTTAATGTTCTAGTCTAACTTGATTGTTTGTCTAACAATAAAAGCCTACATTATAAATAAAGCAAAATCAAATGAAATTGAATGAGATTTAATAAATAATTTAATCAATCAATAAACAAGTAATCAACAAAATATGTTACAATGTCAATTTTTATACCATCAATCTTCATGCATGCCATTTCAATTCAATCCAAAAATAAACAATGCTTTGATTGAGCTTTGTATTGTGATTCAAAGTCATTTTGTATTGCCACAAAGAACTTATGCTCATGATGTTTTTTTTGGCTAAATTTGTTAAAAAAATTCTTGAATACATGCCACAAGCTTGGACACAATGCAATTACTCAAAGTTATGTAATCCAATCTACAAACTAAACTCAATCAAAAAAATTTAAGACTTAGAGTACATATCAACCATTTATATTCTTTATTGTACCAAAGAAGTAAAACAGTTCCTTGAAGAACCTATTGAGTTAGACTTTGCCAAATATTTGACTTTAAAAGCTTACAATGGTATTTGTACTTGTACTTTGAAGAAAGATGATGGTCTAAGATTCTTGGTTGCTCTATTTACATGTAGAGAGGTAGAGACTCTTGCCAACCAATATAATGGAAGAATTGATAGGATTGGAGATTACAAAAATAAAATTGCAACAAGTTGAATTGGAAATAAACATCAACAATAATATTAGTAAACAAAGTGGTTGGATTAGAATTCTTGACTTGATTGAAAATGGCCCTTACAACTTGTATTGCACATTCTATTACTCTAACCTAATTGATCTTTTATACCTATCATATTGTTTTGGTTTCTATTTTTGCGGATATGTGTGTATATGAGTGTAAGTGCATGATTGTATTTATGGAAAATGCCAATATGTTTTTATAATGCATTGAACAAATACAAAAGTATAGAAGAAGTTAAATTTTCTACTTTTTCTTTTATTGCTTTGAAAACAAGTTGACAAAAAAGTTTAAAAATAAAACTAATAAAAAATAAAAAAAAATAAAACATTTACAAATACATGCATTCATACACATACACATATAAATTCAAACACAAGCCTTCAATACCAAAATCCCTTCTTTACTCCTTTTTGCAAACCATTTTGAACCTACCCCAAAACCACAAATGCCTTTGTGTGTGATGTGATGATTAAATGATGATGTATGTACACCAAGAAGTGAGAATATGTAGACATCCATGGATACACATACACATATCTAGAAGATACCCACAAAAGTAAAATAGCCCACAAAGATAACATGAATACTAAAAACACATAAAGTAAATAAATAAAACAAAAAGACAAAGCAGCTATTCATTCCGTTTCCATGGTTCTTTAACAACCCCTGTAAGTTTCAACATCCATACACCTAATCATAGACGCTACATGTCTCATCTGTGTGTATGTGCGTATGTACACACATACACAACCTGATTGGAAGGTCGTTCTGGCTAGATTAAATGAAAATCGAAGCACACAAACTGTGGGTGATACCAGCATGTGTCGCACTCGTATGCGTACACCGACATGGCTTCTACGGATCTAAACCATCCCAAAAACCCATGATTCAGTCGTTGCCTCCGACATTCTTGTCCGCCTCCAGATTGTGCCACATGGAGGAGCAGCATCGTTTCTCCCCAGACACTTCTGTCGTTCCCCTGTGACCGGCTTTGTCAATTCCCTGGACCCGGATCGCTTGATTCACGAAATCCGAAGCACTACTCCAATCCCAAGCGTTGCACCCACCACAAGCGTACCGATCATATGCATCACACTTGACTAGTCTTCTTGTCCACTCCCACAATCATGCACAAAACAACAGCTCAAGGAAGGCCGGAATGGGATCCCAGGTGTGATGCCAGCACTTGGTTGAATAGAATCTTGGCTGATGGAGGGCGTGAAAGCGAGACACAACGTCGCCCCACGATGAATGCACACTACACTAGGCTAGGCTATAGAACAACGCCGACAGCTCAGTTCGCAGCGACGGCCGTCGACTCTGGCGCAAACCTAGCCTACTTCTCCACTCACTACAGCCTCAACTACAACTAACAGGGCGTACATATGCTTCGTGCTGTTGTGGTGCTCAGACGCGCGGCCTCCATGCCATGCCAGCTGCGCGTGCAGTCGGTTTGGGACGAATCCGAGGCGTTGCAATGCGCTACCTCCTGGATGCGCGTGCGCTCAAAGGTACGAGAGCAATTGGACGGCGCTGTGTGGTGACGCTCAAGCCTTGACGAAGCTGGCCTTGATGTGCTGGACTTGGTTCTGGTTCAGGTGGAACGCCTTCTCCAGCACCTCGTCGTTGATGGGAGGGTTGGCTGCGAACAGCGCCGGCGCCACTTGCTGCACTCCCGGGTTCTGGCTGCTGAGCGCCGCGATGGCCACCGCCGCGCCCTTGCCCACATTGAGCTGGAAGTGGACCAGCCCTCTGGGGAACACGAACACGTCGCCCGCGTACAGCGTGGTGGCGAACAGCGTGTTGTTGGTGGTGCTGACGAACCCGACGTACAGCTCCCCCTGCAGCAGCGCCAGGACCTCGGTGGCGCGAGGGTGGATGTGGGGTACGTTGATGCCGCCCTTGGCGAAGTCCAGGCGAGCCAGGGAGATGCCCAGAGTGTTCAGGCCGGGGAGCTGAGCGGCGGCCACGGGCGTGACGGCGTTGGCAGTGGGGCCGCCGGTGTTGCCGGGCTTGTCGAGGCCCCTGAACAGGAAGTCGTTCACCTTCACGTCGGCCGCGGGCTTGCACACCAGACCGTTGATGGTGAGCGTGCTGGAGGCGTCTGCGACGCAGAAGTCCTGGATGGGATCGGCGTCAGCCGCCATGGAGAGCATCGGTAGCAGAGCGGCCTGGACGAGGAGCGCCACGAACACGACGCGCTTGGCAAGCGTCTCCATTGTGCGCCCACTGCGTGACAACGATCGTTCACCGCTGGGGTTGGTTGGGAATCCCGTCCCCTCTCGGGTGTTGCTCGCTGGGTTGTCTTGTCGTGTCCTGAGCTGTCTTGTCCTGTCCTGGGGAATTTGAGCAACAAGAAGAGTCGTGGCCGCACTGATGTGTAGGGGCTTGGAGAGTGCTTGGTGAATGGAGCGATGGGAAGCCATGGGCTGCACAGCTCTTTTATACGCCGGAAGGATTCAAGGCCGTGCGCCAGGCAGCAGGTCTCGCTGCACGCGGTGCTGTAATGTCGAAAGGCGGCGCACAGCACAACGACGTCGCTGAACGTGAGGGGGCTTCACTTCGTCGTTGCAGGTCTCGACCCGCTGTGCTTTTCTCCGATATCTGGTCAATCGAGCGTTTCGCTGGATCCCGCGTGTTTTTTATACCTGAGAAAGCACCTCCGACCCAACTTGCCGGGACAAGCCCCGAAGCTGCGGAGGCTGTTGCGCTTTCGCATGGTATTAGATTGGTGTATGTATTTAACATGATTTTATTAAATCTATGGAATGGGAACAGTTTTGTAGTTTATGTTAAATGAACTATTTGATTTAGCCTTATGTGTAATTGGTACATCAACCTATACATAATATGAGCGTAAGAAATTGATTGATAGTTGTTTTACTAATTACTCTTATGATTTTTATTATCTTTTTTTGTTATTAATTTTTTTAATTCTTTAAGCTTAGAGATATTTGTTTAGGAATTAAAGCTTATTCCTACTTACATACCCTAGTGAAAATATGGCAAGGCTTTGGTCATCAAAAATAAAAATAAGAACAAAAAAATAGTTGCAATCAATCAAATTAATGAAATCTTTTTAATTCTTGCCCTAATATATGTGAAGGCACAAATTTATGTTGCTTATTTTTTAGACATAAATATCTTAAAAATTAAAATCTTGGATAAAGGAAAAAACCTCAAATTTGATAAGAGATAGTACACAACCTTTATTTTTATGTTAGTTCAATTTTAGAAGGCTCCTCTTTATTGCATACAAACTACATAGCAACAAGATTTATTGTTTTAGAAAGATAATAAAATCTAGTTTTTTAAAAGCTAAGACTTGACTACATTGAAACTAATATTTAGTAGGATTGTTGCTTCCAAATTCAAATGGCCGAAAGAAGGTACAACTTGAGAGGATAAGATTAAGATAATTGAGTCAATTTTGGTGGTGTTCAAAGTCATGATTCTTATGAGCTTAAGTTTACAAAAGGACAATCAAGAATTAAGATGTCAAACTCAATTTTGTAGAAAGAGATTTTCTACCTTGCCATATTAGAGCATCAACTTTGAGAGGTGATATTAGGGGCAAACAACTAAACTTGAAGGTGAAATTTGGAGAATAGATAAATCTTCATGTCTTCTTTCTGACAAAACTAGTTGAAATTAATTTAGAGGTTGAAATTAGATGCGGTACATTAATTTGTGAAGGTGGATGCCAAAACCCTTCCATTATAACTTAAATAATGTTAATCCATTAGTCAATTATTATGAATGAATCTAAGATGGAAGCTTAAGAAGGGCATACAGATTAATTTAGATAAATAATTATATCAATAGATAAATTTTAATTGGATGTAGTACTTTAATAAAGTTATCAATTTGGATGTGATGTGTTTTTTGGATGAAAAATTGAAATAATATCCATTGCATAGATTGCATAAATTATTGGATGGATGTATGAACTTTAATCTATCAATAGATTAAAAACCTAAATCCAACTTTAACACAAAGTGATTAATTTAGACTAATAAATTAATAATAAGTTGTATATGAGAATTTTAAGACATCCAATAAAGAACACTTAATTATTTTCATACATAGTATTAACTATTGAAATAAAACATAAACTAAACAAATTAAGTGCTTCATTATAGATTCTTCTAATAATTGTAATTTAAAAAGTAAGTATAATATATATATATATATATATATATATATATATATCAAGTTATCTTATTAAAAATAATAAAATAAAAAATATAACACCATCAAGCTAAAATTGAATATGTTTCTTTCATTATTGATTTTTATAAGAATGTTTGATTTCTATACATATCTATATTTTTGTGTAAACAACTCTTATTATGAAATTTTAAATTTATCTAATTTTTATGATCTTTTAGCTTAATTTCAATACATAAAAAAAATTTAAAAATCTTATTAAATTATTTTAGTAATTAAAAATAATGTAATATACTAAATTATTTGTATTTATTATTTGTATTTTTTTTTGCTATGTCTTCAATCTTAGATTAAAAAAAATAATAAGTTCTTACATATGTATCTAAATTTGTACCTAGTATAAAATGTATTCTTATAATAATAGACAAACCAAATCAATTTGTGATATAATATTTAATGCAATAAACAAGTATTTTTGTCTAAATTAAATTCTCATTTACAACAACATGATACTTAAAATGGAATTCCATAAGTAAACCAAACAAGTCAAAACATGTCCACAAGTTTAAAATAAAGAATCATCCTTGAATTTATTATTAAACACATATAATAAATAAATAAATTAACTTCACTTTAATGTAGTCTTGACCAAATTATCAGCCAACTTCATACATATTATTGCTTATACATATTTGCAAAAATGTGTTTTCAAAAGTTAATACATATATAATACCTATTTGTTGATTTTCTTCATTATAAGCTAAACAATCAAAATAACCAAAAGAAGGAAATCAAGAAATTCTAACAAACTATGTCAAATCATATCAAGGATTTGTAATGCTACATGACATGTCAAACTCAAAATGTGCACATAAAAAGCATGTGCTCCAATACATTATAATACATATTAAGACAAGAATCTATTCATGTTTGTATAATTTAAATCAACACATCATGTACACCAGAGAATACAAAATCAACAACAATTACAAAAAACATACTACAGTTCGTTCTAAAATCAACATATAATTCATATAAACTAGTTGTTAAACCACAAGCTTCAATATAGTATAAATCTACAATGCCATTGTCATCGTGTATTCAATTTAGAAATCGCACTACATTCAACTGTTAAAAAAAAAAGTCATCCGCCATATTAAAAAAAGTAACAATAATAAACCATCCAGTTCTACGATTGCACAAAGATATATAACAGAAAAAAATAGAAAAACATATATATATATATATATATATATATATACACATGTAAAGAGAGGAACAGCAACTCAAACTCAAAACTAAATTTCTAAAACCGCAAACATTAAATTTCCTCCATCCCTGTCTCCCTCCATGAAATCCTGCGTGCAAAAGTGCAGAAGTTTCCAAAACAAAACTAAACCCATCCGTTTCGCAAAGCATACGGAGCTTTAAGCACAAACTACGAAATTAACGCTCTAAACACACGAGACATCCAACGTCGCTCATGCCAACGTCGCCAACAGTGGGTTTCTCCGGACCATCGGTCCCAAACGCGTGAGAGAGAGCCAGCGAAACTCGATGTCATCGCGTGCCCGTCCACCAAGCGAAAGCGCAACAGCCTCCGCAGCTTCGGGGCTTGTCCCGGTAAGTTGAGTCGGAGGTGCTTTCTCAGGTATAAAAAACACGCGGGATCCAGCGAAACGCTTGATTGACCAGATGTCGGAGAAAAGCACAGCGGGTCGAGATCTGCAAGGACGAGAATCAGTCGTATTGTCTTAATTTTTACCACCGGGGAGATCGTCTCGTGGTAGTCCAACCGGGAATTTGTTATTACCCCGGGCTACGGGAGGGGCTTTTTTGCGGTCAATTTGTCCGTGGCTGTTTTATTTGTGCTTGAAAATCCACTTACATTTGATGGGTTTTGGATGTGCAGGGAGTGTCCAAAATATCCACGTGTCGTTTAGCCCTTGGGAGTTTAGTTCTTGAGCTATGGCAGATTTCCAATGGTGACCTTGGGAAGACGTCATGGCTTGCGTCTTGGTCGTTGGCTCCATGAATATCGCGGCAAGGGTTATAAGAGCGTGCTTCGGTCTGGAGGGTCGCGATGGAGTATTCCGCGTCCGAAGGGAACTTGGATCATAATTTTCGGATGGGTCTCGCGGTGGGGGTACGCCTTTGTTGGTGCGAGAAGACTTGCGAACGGGTACAGGAGAGGTTCCATGCTGGGGCTCAACGGGAGAGTCAGCAACATGGTCCGGCCTGGGAGCTTGTTTGTGGTGGCCTAAATGATGCATGAGGGCCAAGCTGGTGAGAGATCGGACGTCATGCCGCGGGGACGGTCTAGCCGGGAGGAGTGGTGGTACCTCGGGTAAGGATGATTGTTTAAGTCGGGACTGAGCACGGGCGGAATCTGGAGCCGGGGGAAGCAAAATATGAAAATTTCTCAACCCCGGGCTGGGGCCATCAGTAGCATCTGGTTCCGGAGCAGCAGACGAGAGGTGATCATCAAGAGGATTCGTGACAGGTAGTGAAGGAGGACGTTGATGCTGGTCCGACGGCACCTGCGGAGCATCAGAAAGAGGGTGTTGGGGCTCACGCGTGGATACACGCGCAGGTGGAGTGGCAGGGAGCTGCGACCCGCTGGGAAGAAAGAAATGTGGGTCTTCCTGGAGTCTGGCATCGGGTGAGCGGCTGGCCTGAACAGGTTGGCTGGGAGCAGCAGGCTCCTTCCGAAAGATGACGTCCCTGGAGACGACGGTGGCGCCGATGCGGAGGAGTTGAACCTTGTATCCCTTGCTGACCGGGCTATAGCCAAGGAATATGCAAGCCTCCGTTTTTCCATCAAGCTTGACACGGAGCGGGTCAGGGATTTTTGCATAACATCGACTTCCAAATACACGAATGTGAGTGAGATCGGGCTTCTTATTGTGCCACATCTCGAATGGAGTGGTGTGAGAAGGAATAGCCTTAGTGGGAAGTCGATTTTGGATATACGTAGTACAGGTGAATGCTTCTCCCCAATACGATTTAGAGAGTTGAGCTTCATGAAGCATGCACCTTGTGGTGTCAAAGAGAGTTCGATTCTTGCGTTCAACCACATCATTTTGGTCTGGTGTATACATTGTGGTGAGTTGACGTTGAATGCCATGTGCTTCCAAGTATTGAGTGAATTCTAAAGATAAGTATTCTCCTCCTTGATCGGAGATGAGAGTTCTGATTTTATAGCCGGTTTGATTTTCAGCCCACGTGTGAATTTTTTTGAATTCATGTAGACATTTGTTCTTTTTTAGTAATAGTCTTAGTACAGTATATCTCGAAAAGTCGTCCATGAATGTAACATAGTATTCATAGCTAGAGATTGATGGAGTAGTGATGGGGCCACTTAAATAAGAGTGGATCAATTCGAGAGATTGAGTGGCTCTTGTAGTCGTTTGTTTTGGAAATTTCTTGGCCGTATGT